AAAAACGAAAGTCAATATATATATATAATTTATTCAACGGATAAACATTTTCTAATTATATTTATATCATAATTGTATATTGAGGCAAGCAGGTTTTACCATAAATTAATTAGAACGAATGTAAATGATTGGTGCGTTAGATGTAGTTTAAGAGGCCGTGGTCGTAGCCGGAGCGAGGGGTTAGGAGACAGAGGGTTTCATCTCTCCGATATACAATAAACAACTTGTACAACAAATAAGCATTCAGTAGTTGTATTTCATATATGTTTATATTACAATGAATGCAAATAATGGTATTAATGGGCAAGCTGTATTGGCATAAAAGGAACTGAATCAATGTAAAGAAGTTTAGGTTAGTTCATTTATTATGCACCCCATACCCATGTTGTGGGCGGTGATGGAAAGGGGGTTACAGAGGCACATAATGGGCTCAGGGACTGAACACCACAATTAATTTAGCTAAGCAAGGTACAGTCTTGATGAACTAGTTACAACATTGAATGTATATTGTTACATCATCAATGGGTTCGAGGCTCACCACCGGTACAGTATGTAAAGAATATATACGTTCGTAGTTATCTCGCTTTACGAAGCCGTGGCCGTGGCCGGGGCAAGAGTTGGGACGCGTAGAGGAGAACACGTGTTAGAAGAGAAACATTTGGTGAGACAACTTTAACTTCATGTGTTGTGTATCCTAAGTGTATCCTAAGTGAGTCTGTGTGTTCACAACATGTGATTGGGGCAGTTCTGAACGTTTTGAAGTGTAGTGCTACTAAGGTGTGGGTTATTTTGGCCTAGTGTGCTTAGAACATTTGTGTACTAGGGAAGCATTTCTGTAAGCAAATGGGTTATATTTTCGCATTAATATGGCGTATTTATTGCTCATTAATAAAGTGGCACTTGGTGCTTGAGGTGGCCTAATGTCCTAATGCTAAGTGCATAGTTTAGGGATTCAGAGTGAAGCATCTTTTTCAGGACAACTCGCCCCGTTTCCACTTTGCTTTCCGAACTTACTCTAAACCTAACATACCTTCCTAACCTGTCCACACCTGGCCTCTGCACACCTGGCCTCTGCACACCTGGCCTCTGCACACACAGGACCAGATTCACGAAGCAGTTACGCAAGTACTTACGAACGTGTACATTACACACAATCACAAAAGCGTGATACATGAAATGAACAAATCCACAAGGGCTGTGATGAGGATTCGAACCTACATCCGAGATGATCCCAGATGTGCCTTAGTAAGTAAGGCGTGTCTGGGATCATCCCGGACGTAAGTTCGAACCCTTGTCATGGCCCTTGTAGATTTGTTCGAACGTGTATATCTTTCCTCGATCTTTGACGGCTTTGGTTACATCTATTAAACAGTTTACAAGCATGAAAATTTCCAAATCAACTGTTGTTATTGTTATAAACAGCCTCCTGGTGCTTTGGAGCTCATTAAATGTTAAATAATTGTAAATAAAGCCGCCAAAGATCGAGAAAAGATGTACAGATTCGTGAGTGCTTGCGCAACTGCTTTGTGACTCTGGCCCCTAGCCTCTGCACACCTAACGTCATCTAAGAAGTACAGAATAAAAGTGGCCGAAAGCCACTTTTCTTTATAAAGAAAGAAAACCTTTACCGGCAAGAACCCTATTACACCAGTGATGTCTCGCACCTAGTGCACTACTGTATATGTAAAACGACATTTTCTCTTTTTGTTTTTAAGTTCAGTTAGGTTAGGTTTGATTTGTTTTAAGTTAGGCCTTCTAGCCTAACTGTTGAAGAAGGCTGCTTAACCATTTAAAATGTTAGTTTCAATTTATTTTTTTCAGTGTGGTGTATGCAAATACATGAATACACATACACACACGGATAGAACAAGCTAAGTGAGAAGGCCAAGACCGTCAGTAGTTTCAAAGCGTTATACGACAGGAGACGGGACACGACCAGCATAGCTCTCATTTATTTATTTATTTATTTATTTATTTATTTATTTATGCATATACAAGAATGTACATAAGGAATGTGAGGATACAAATATGGTAATTACAGTCTTGTAAAGCCACTAGCACGCGCAGCGTTTCGGGCAGAATTCTTTCTTTAACTACACTTTGGTAATTACACACATATGTACATACCCGATTATGTATATGTAATATGGCCTCTATAGTTATTAATGTGACTAAATATGTGGATTATCATTGTTGAAAAGAGGTATTTAAAAAAATTGAGTGCATCGTCAATAATTGATGAAAATTTGCTGAAGCAATGAAAGCCTTGGTTGGGAAAAACAGAATAGGAATACTGTAGTTGCAGCTAGAGGTGTGTGTGTGAAGGAGATTAAAATGTCGCTTTAAACCCAATGGAGTTTAAAACCTAGTTGTAACAAAGAGTCTTGCAATAACTACTAATTAAATATTCCATATAGAATAAAGAATTTAATATGGTTACATATACACATACTGTACATACAGTGCAATATTCGGTAAACGGAATGATTGAGGAGAGCATATCGAGATGGTAATTACCCAAGTGTGGGTTGGGTTATTTGCTTCAGATGTTTGTTTGTCACATTGTGACATTCTTTGCAGATTAATAGTTATTTATCTAATATGTACTCCCTCTCTCTCTTCAGATTTCAACCATGGTGCCTAAAGCAAAACCAAAAGCAGCCAGCTTGTTGGCATTAAAACCATCCAAGGATGCAGAATTTCGGAAGAAATCCATTAAAAATCGAAAGACGTTGAAGGTAACTTTTCTCTACAGTTCTTTCAACAATTTTTTTATTTACTTTAAGTAATTATATTTATAGCATTAACCCCTTAACTGCGTTGCCTCCAAATGTGACACCCCCGCAGTGCGCAGGAAATAAATTCTCTGGAAAAAATTCTTTTTTCTTTTTGAAGTGTCAAAAACCCTTCCCTCAATATGGGTATGCAAAAAAAAAGTCGAAATTGTACTTACTTTGGCTGCTATGGGGTCCGGAAGTTGGGCCGTGACGTCATCATTCCCCGTGCGCCCGTGCCGTAAGCTCTCGGGGGCGGTGGGGCGCTCGGGGCGGGGCGCGCGAGTTGCCGTGAATATATTTTCGTTCATTTTTTGCGCACCTTTCCAAATACATTTTCATTGTTTTTATGTGCCAATCCAATGTATAATGAACACGTACACTATAATATCGCAGTACAACATCCGTACTGTCCGTAGACACTGTGTTACGTGCATGAAACTTGTGTACACATATGCAGCACATATTTACTATGTATCATGCTAATTTGTGTATATATACAATCTATTTACACACTATACACTGTCACACACTATATACATTCACCATCAACACATTCAGAACACCGCGTAGCAGCTGCTTCGTATGGGCCAATAGCAGCTGCCTCGTATGGGCCAATATCAGCTGCCTCGTATGGGCCAATAGCAGCTGCTTCATATGGGCCAATAGCAGCTGCCTCGTATGGGCCAATAGCAGCTGCCTCGTATGGGCCAATATCAGCTGCCTCGTATGGGCCAATAGCAGCTGCTTCGTATGGGCCAATAGCAGCTGCCTCGTATGGGCCAATATCAGCTGCCTCGTATGGGCCAATAGCAGCTGCTTCATATGGGCCAATAGCAGCTGCCTCGTATGGGCCAATAGCAGCTGCCTCGTATGGGCCAATATCAGCTGCCTCGTATGGGCCAATAGCAGCTGCTTCGTATGGGCCAATAGCAGCTGCCTCGTATGGGCCAATAGCAGCTGCCTCGTATGGGCCAATATCAGCTGCCTCGTATGGGCCAATAGCAGCTGCTTCGTATGGGCCAATAGCAGCTGCTTCGTATGGGCCAATAGCAGCTGCCTCGTATGGGCCAATATCAGCTGCCTCGTATAGGCCAATAGCAGCTGCCCCGCATGGGCCAATAGCAGCTGGCCCGCATGGGCCAATAGCAGCTGGCCCGCATGGGCCAATAGCAGCTGGCCCGCATGGGCCAATAGCAGCTGGCCCGCATGGGCCAATAGCAGCTGCCCCGCATGGGCCAATAGCAGCTGCCCCGCATGGGCCAATAGCAGCTGCCCCGCATGGGCCAATAGCAGCTGCCCCGCATGGGCCAATAGCAGCTGCCCCGCATGGGCCAATAGCAGCTGCCCCGCATGGGCCAATAGCAGCTGCCCCGCATGGGCCAATAGCAGCTGCCCCGCATGGGCCAATAGCAGCTGCCCCGCATGGGCCAATAGCAGCTGCCCCGCATGGGCCAATAGCAGCTGCCGCGTATGGGCCAATAGCAGCTGCCTCGTATAGGCAATAGCAGCTGCCTCGTATGGGCCAATAGCAGCTGCCGCGTATGGGCCAATAGCAGCTGCCTCGTATGGGGCAATAGCAGCTGCCTCGTATGGGCCAATAGCAGCTGCCGCGTATGGGCCAATAGCAGCTGCCGCGTATGGGCCAATAGCAGCTGCCGCGTATGGGCCAATAGCAGCTGCCGCGTATGGGCCAATAGTAGCTGCCTCGTATGGGCCAATAGCAGCTGCCTCGTATGGGCCAATAGCAGCTGCCTCATATGGGCCAATAACAGCTGCCTCGTATGGGCCATGAACACATTCAGAACACCTTGAGTGAGAGCAGCCACACCCAGCCAGTCTCCCTCACTCCAACATCTTACTCGCCAACATTGCTCCTCCCACCATATTGCTATAGTTCTTATTACACATGTTCTATATACCTATCTACATGTTTTATTTACCAGAACTATGCAAGTAAGCCGGTATTGTGTCCAAACAGTACAGTGGCCACCATACACTGCATGAAAAATCACATAGCAGACGACGCTACGATTACGTCACCTCCCTCACCAAAATAGCTCCTCTCAACATTCTCCTGTTGCTGTTCTTACACTATATACACACACTATATATACCCATGTACATATGTGTTGCCCATAGCGAACCACTAAGCTAGTATGGTGAGCAAAACAAGAGTGGCAGCCACACACACAATTGAGGCTACCTCAATTCTCGCCCTCCCTCCCTCATCAAAATTCCTCGTTCCACAATACTACGCACAACGCTAATTATAACCACATTCCTGCTATTATCACAATCCTGGTCACTAATTCCTGTAAATGAATAATTGACCACACGTTTATTTTGAAAAAGAACCTAAGAAATCATTTGAAGATTCCTAGATGAACGAAATAATGCTCTGGTGCTGTGGCTAGCGCTGTGAACATCGTGAACAGCATTGAATCACTGATATTTGAACATTGACCCAGTCATTATCACACTCAGGCTCTAATATAACACTATCATAGCTAAATAATACAAGTTATATATATATTTTGACATTATTAGGCGATGCTGTGGTCACATGCTGAACAGCAGTGCTGTGCGCTCATGCTGCGAGCGTCAGCCTTGGTTGCTCACACACTACTGAGGCTCCCACACCCGGGAATGTGGACCACGATTTTTTTTAAAGATGGCGTCTGTTTACAAGAGCCCTGAGGAAGCTGATGTGAACCCCATGTAGCCGCGGGAGTTTTGAATGGAACGTGAAAAATACAAATACCCGGAGGCGCGTTGCGCAAACCAGACGTGAGCCTGCAGGCGCGTTGCGCAGTTTAAGGGTTAAGCTTCTTTCATTGTTTTGTGAATTTGGCTTACTCTGTGGTTTGGTTTCACGTTCTAAAGACTGATCTTCCCAAGAATGCAGCCCACATTAGTTGTCTAACTCCTGGGTACCTATTTACTGCTAAGTGAACAGAGGCATCAGTTCGCTTAGCATCAGTCCTATAGTAGTTGGGTTCTCTTAGACCCACTACTAACCCTCACCCAGGATGCAACTGTCATCATTTGCCTAACTCCTCAGACCTTTTGACTATATTGATCACTGTTTTAAGGTGAAACTTTTCTTTTTTCCCGTTTTCAAATTTCTAGATAAAAGAAAAATTCTGGCAGACCTTTTTCCCCTTGTGTGCTTTTGTCTTTACTTATACATCAGTAAGTGATTCACAGTTTCTACATAAGCACTTCTACATCTTTGACTTGAAATCTTCTCATGTCCTTTCATTATTACTACATTTTTATTTTAACTTCTCCAGTACTGTACTTGTTTCAACTGTAATGGGATCTTAGGAGCATTTATGCACACAATGCACTCTGACCACAGAACTCCATCATGTGACTAAGAAATAACGTTGAATCCGGTGAGTAAATACACACATCTGACACCTGCTTGATACTTGCTTGATGGGTTTCAAGGAGTTCTACTTCCCAAGCCCGGCCCGAGGCCTGGCTTGACTTGTGAGAGTTTGGTCCACTAGGCTGTTGCTTGCAGCGGCCCGCAGGCCCACATACCCACCACAGCCTGGTTGGTCCAGCACTCCTTGGAGGAAACTATCTAGTTTCCTCTTGAAGATGTCCTCTGTTGTTCCGGCAATATTTCTTATGCTCGCTGGGAGGATGTTGAACAACATCTGCATCTCTGATGTTTATACAGTTCTCTAATTGTGCCTATGGCACCCCTGCTCATTACTGGTTCTATTCTGTATTTTCTTCCATATTGTTCACTCCAGTATGTTGTTATCTTACTGTGCAGATTTGGGACCTGGCCCTCCAGTATTTTTCACGTGTATATAATTTGATATATCTCCAGTCGTCTTTCTAGCGAGTACATTTAGAGAGCTTTGAGACGATCCCAATAATTTAGATGCTTTATCTCATTTGTGTATCCCGTATATGTTCTCTGTACTCCCTCTATTTCAGCAATCTCTCCTGCTCTGAATGGGGATGACACTGGTCATACAAATGACAGTGACAGTGCACCTGCACCCAGCAAGGTGCAGGTGCAGTTACACTAAGGTGAAACCAGACAGAAAGAAGCCTCGCTTCACCCGTTGAGCAGAACCTGAAAGGAAGAACCGCTAGAGAATCTTGCACACAAGGGAGGGGGGGTGTTATTCATCGTTTTCTAGGTGTGTCTGTGTGTACCATTAAGTGCCAAGCACTAAGAACACAAAAATCCTTTTTTTTTTTATTCCATGCAAGTGTTAAGAAGCAAACAATTTATATATGAGTAAAGTTTCTTATCTTCCGCAGAGGGAGCACCACTCGGTAGATAGACCACCACTCTGCAGATAGACCACTGTTAACCAGTGTGTTTTGTATTGCTATACAGTACTCCTTTGGTGCAAAAAAAAAAAAAAAAAAATTGATAATTCAGTGCTGATTTACATTTACTTTTATCTTCCAGACTGGGAAAAAATGGTTAGCAGGACAAGAAGTGAAACGAGGTGTAATTTATCTCTCCCGCATACCATATGGATTTTTTGAGGCTGCGATGTTAAAGTTTTTCCGACAATTTGGAGTGGTCAAGAATATAATACTGGCCCGGAGTAAGAAGGTTAGTGTCATAAAAAAAATTTAGGTGGAAGACTATTGTATTTATTTATTGTATTTTATAAACTATAAGTTTTGAAGTTTATTATGAACTGTTATGGTTTATCTCCTAATGTATAAAATGGTGTTTGCGTTATGCTCTTTTGTGGGTCTGAGGATCAATAACTAGGGGCCAGTCTCTTAAAGAAACTTGCTGGTTGATGGTCTGGTCAACCTGGCTGTTGGATGCTGCTTCTTACACCCCCGACATTTGAATTCGAGCCTGATTGATCAAAGCCGCCAAGGGTTAACCTTCACCCCATTGGAGGTCTATAAAGTTCCTCTTGAACACCATAAGAGGTCAGCTGCTTATGTTTAGAATGAGGATGTTGTCAAGGTTTGGGCCCCTAATGTTTATAATATTCTCTTTGGGTACCATTGGCATGTCTACTTTTGAAAAGGGCTATTTTGTACATTCTGCCATGCTTTCTGGTAGCGTACAAAATTAATTCGGTGTGCATATGTGAAACTAGTCCCTCCTGTATTTTCCAAGTGTAAATTATTATGTAACTTTCCTGCACTCCAAGGAGTACAGTTTTAAGAGATTTTAAATAGTCCTAATAATTTAGATATTTTATTGAATGGATTTGGATAGTAGATGTTCTCTGCATGTTCTCCAGGTCAGCATCTTCTCTAGTTTTGAGTGGGACTGCTTTTGTGCAATAATATTGCACCCTAGAGGTGGAATATTATCCACCTCTATAATTAGGTGGATAATATATTATCCACCTCTATGTATTATAATAAGAGGCTACATCTAGTGTCTTAAAAAGTCCCATCATTGATTTGGCTTCTCTTATTTGAAAGATTTTTGTTACCAAGCCTATCATTTCTCTGGTAATTGCTTTCTTTACAAGTAGGTCTTTCAACATGATTACTCGATGATTACTCTGATCATCTATGTGTTTTTACTACAGTGTGGTTTGGCTGTATTTTATTGGTTCCTTGCCCTCGTTGAACATCAATGTTTTGTGGCCTACTGAAAGATCCAGTTAATATCAGTATGAAGATTATTTGAATCAGTATTTCTACTCGTAAAACCCCTAGTGTCACCTATGAAGGATGACATTATAGTTTGTGTCTGTTAGGTGTAATTACAGGATGAGAGCTACGCTCATGGTGTCCCGTCTTCCCAGTACTCTTTGTCCTATAATGCTTTGAAACTATAGACGGTTTTGACCTCCACCACCTTTTCACTTGGATGGTGGTGGAGGCCAAACTACCATTCTGTCTACCACTGTTTGCAAAAGATAGCTTTCTAATATTTTTTCAGCATCTTTGTTTCCTCAGCTTGAATCTCTGTCCTCTTGTTCGTGAAGTTGCTGGTTTCGGTATTCCTCTTTCAATTTGGTCGATTCCTGTTAGTATTTTTTAGTGATGATCATTTCACCTCTTTTTCTTCGATCTTCTAGTTTTGGCATGGTTTAATGCCTCTAGTCTCTCCTCATAACTCATTTTTCAGTTCCGGAAGCCATTTTGTAGCATGCCATTGCACCTTTTCCAGTTTATTTATGTGCTTCTTGAAATTTGGGCACCATACAACTGCTGCATATTCCATTTTTGGTCTCACAAAAATCATGAACAGTTTCTTTAGTATTTCACCATCCATGTAATTAAAAGCAAGTCTGAAGTTGGAAAGCGACGCATACGCTCCTCTCACAATGTTCTTTGTGTGTTCCTCTGGCAACAACTTACTATCCAAAACCACCCCTATGTCTCATTCTTTGTTAGTTCTTTAATTCCTTTCCACATAGTGATTACTTTTCCATGTAAGGGATTACTGGAGCAGGTACAGTGCCTTAACCCTTAACATGCTCGGGGTCTAATATCCTGCTATCCACACAGGCGCATGTCATTTTGAAAAAAAAAAAAATTTTTTTTTTTTTGCTAATCTGTTAAGTTCTGTTCACTGATCACGGGAAAAATAAAAAAAAAATTCTATTGTACTTACTTTTGTTGCAATAGAGCCGAGAAGCTCGGTGATGACGTCACAATCTGCATGTTCGCTCATGCAGTACACGCCCGGGAGATGTTGCGCGCGGTCCTCAAACAGCCAGAGTTGCCACAAATATATTTTCGCGCTATTTATTTACAATGTCTAAGCGCATTTTATCTAATTTTTTTTCACTAATTGTGTTTCAAATACTGTTTGAACATATTTTGTATCAATAATTGTTGCATATTTGAGTATACACAGGCGCACACAAATGTTTTCAATTACGGCAATATAATATGTCATTACAGTCCATTATATTGTATGTTCTGCTTATATTTGTATATATTTACACACACGCACACGCTATCTGCTTATATGTTTACATATTTACACACACGCACACGCTATACACACTTTGAAGCACACTTAGAAGATTTCTAGACTGTGGTAGTCATTGAAGCAGTCGACAGCACATAATGGGATACCACACGTTTCACACCATGTTTGCACAAGCTTCCGTTTCTTGTCTCTACGTGTCGTTGTTTTACACACCAAGCAATCACGTTGGGCTATTGCACGCTTCACACCAGGTGGCAAATACTTAAGTTTGTGTGCTAGGAAGCCTTCAGTGTGAGCGAGGCGTGGAGTACCAGCATGCTGCAACAGTGGGTTTATGATGGGCCGCTGAATACCTGGGACATCTTTTGCAAACTTTCCTAATAACTGTATTGCAGCATCAAATACAAAGTCACGGAAAGTGGGCTTACGTCCAGTTCTCACAAGGTACATGTTGAAACAGTTCAGCATGCTCATGTCCACAAGATGGAAGAACACTTTTTTCGTCCACCTACATGTCTTCCGCACACACTCTGCAGTGCCAATCATCATGTCTGATTTATCAATCAACCGCATGTTGATATTATAGTCTAAAACACAGTCTGGCTTATATAGTGGTGCGTTTGTTTTATGGCTCACTTTCCCACTGTTCACCATTGTTCCATCATGAATTGTTGTCAACAAGTTCACCTCTCTTTTGTCTTTCCACCGAACTGACAGAATGTTATCACTTTTCCTTCTCTGACACTCACCAACTGCAATGTCGTTGTCAAACACAGGCATTTCCCTTCGTTGTGGCTTTACTGTACCAACCAATCCGGTTCTATTTTCTAGCAAGAACCGAGCTAGCAAGGGACTTGTATAGTAATTATCTGTGTATAAAATGTGTCCCTTGTTCATCCACGGAGCCATGATGGTCTTCACTACACTCCCCGAGAATCCATGTTCGTCGTTACCGGGAATGTCTACATCACTAGCCGAGTACAGAATCATGTGTAACACGTATCCTGTCTCACAATCACAAAGAACAAAAAATTTCAGGCCAAATCGGTTTCGTTTTGAGGGAATGTACTGTTTGAATGGAACACGTCCCTTGAAAAGTATGAGAGATTCATCAACCACCAGCTTCTGTGCTGGTACGTAAAAATCTCTGAATTTTCCAATAACATCGTTCATGTAGTGCCTCACTCGCCACAGTCTATCATCAGGTGTTCGGTCCTGAACACTTCCAAAATGTAGACACCTGAGGAGTATCTGAAACCTGTCTCGTGACATATATTTCCCGAATAAAGGTGTTGGTATTGTCTTGTCCTTGCTCCAATAGTCATTTATTGCATGTTTGTGACAGTGCTTCATCAACAAACAGAGTGCCAAAAACACATACATTTCCGCCACTGTGGTATTTTTCCAACGCTGCAGTCGTGAAAATTCTGTGATTTCCCTCTCAATCAGGTAAGCAGCATGCAGGTTCGTTTGGTGTACAATGTATTCCATGAGTGGTTCATCATAGAATGCTGTAAAATATTCCATCTCAGCCATGTCCTCACCTTGATTAGGGAAAAGGTTTGTAATCCCTACATCTTTATCGTCAAAGTGAGGAATATTAGGAATAAAATCGTCACCATCACTCCACTCAAGTACACCAGGCGTCCTGCGAGATGCAGAGGAAAGACGGCGAGGAAGCGATGCATACCGGCGACCAGGAGCTGAATACCGTCTGCGAGAAGCACGGCGGCTACGTGCACGTGAGGTGGGTGCACGTGAGGTGGGTGCATGTGAACACGAGGGTCTTGGTCCCTCATGTGGTGCCATGCGGTGGCGCTTGGCCGGGCGAGATGCTGCTGACGCGACAATTTCTCGCCCAGTTACACCACTGGTACCAGCCACAGGCTCAATAAAACTTTGATCTGAGTCACTAAACCCAGAAAAGGAGTCACCTCCCTCTGACTCGTCACCCTCAAACAGAAAATATCCACAGGAACTGTGAGGTCGTGGTAGAATTGGGGTAGAAAATGGGCGAGGAGGCATGGGAGAGCGAATAGGCCTCGCCATGGCATGGCGGTCATTCTCACTTTCACTGCTGCTGCTGCTATCACCCGACAACTGTGTATAATCCTCATCGTTGTCTGAATCGTCAAACACACTTTCTTCACCTTCAGAGAATAATTCGTGGGCTATTTGCTCTGGGGTGAGGGACTGAGTGGTGCGTGCCCGTGAGGCGTTTGACCGTGCGCTCGCCATGGTGACTCTCGCTAAACTGAGGCCTCCCATGCCATCGAATCGTGAGCTGGATTTTTTTTCAAAATGGCCGCTGTTTACTAGAGCCCCTGGGCAGCGTATGGGACCCCCAGCTACACCGCGGGCCATTCAAATCGTGCGCGGTACCCATACACTTCATATGAAGTGAAGCGCAGTTGACTGGTAAAACGATTTACACTTCATATGAAGTGATGCGCACTTTAAGGGTTAAGGAACTGAGCTTTTCGTGGTGGATGATCCAGATTTTACCTTATTGGCCATTGCTTTTTAGGATATGCTCATTAGGAAATTAAAGATTCATCTTTCTGCTTTGCCAGTATAGTACATAATTCCTTTTGTGTGTATTTTGTAATTACAACATGGTCACATTTGTCAAATTTTTGTGAATATGTATATAATATCAGCATTTTACTTGTCTTTCATTGTTGACTATTGTTTAAGGGTGAGAATTTGAATCAGAAATGATTAATAAAAAGAAAGACATTGAAATTGATTATGTATTTTTCTGGCGTGTACATCCGCATGTTCACTCTAATATATACATTATAATTACATGCACAATATCACTTTAAAATGAGTTATTATAGTAAATATCTGGAACCCATAATGAGTCATGGCCCATGTTATATGGTAGTGGTAAATGACTTGGAATGCCTTAATCTTGTAATCAAGCATAAACATGTGTATATGGTAGTGGTAAATGACTTGGAATGCCTTAATCTTGTAATCAAGCATAAACATGTGTGAAGAAAACTGGTGTAAATTTTTTAGCAGCAACATAAATATAAATTGTATATTCTGGTACATTAAAGTGTTGAATTTTTTAGTATATTTTAAGTTCTCTGGTTTGGCAAAAATCTTAAATTCTTCCACACTTATAAGTTACACTTAATATTCATATATAATAAATTGACTATTACTTGGTTAATTTATTAGGTATTTGCAGTAAAGAATATTATACTTTTATATGATTACCTTTTCAACAGGTTGCTATTCAGTATCTTTGTAACACCTCATTGTACTGTACTGACTTGATACTTAAAATACCGTACTGTAGTAGCCAACAGTGCACTCACAAGCAAGGTACCTGTTGGACCAAGTTCTTACAAATTAAGCCTGGCCTCGGGCCGGGCTTGAGTAGCAGAAGAACTGCCATCAAGCAGGTATCGAGCAGCTGCTCTAACTTTTTGCATGGTCAGCATTCGATTCCCGATGGTGCAAGAAGTTGGGCACCATTCCTTCACTGTCCTTACATCATGACCAGACCACACACTAGAAGGTGAAGGGACGACAACGTTTTGGTCTGTCCTGGACCATTCTCAAGTCGATTGTGACTTAAGAATGGCCCAGGACGACCGAAACGTCGTCGTCCTTTCACCTTCTAGTGTGTGGTCTGGTCATCATACTTTAGCCACGTTATTGTGACTCATCGCCTGTCCTTATATCCCTTCCAAGCGCTATATAGTCGTACTGACTTGGTGCTTTCTCCTCATGATTACCTTACGTTATTTCGGATATTTGTTTGTACAGGTACTAGTTATTCTTGTAGCATTTGTCGCATATTATTGTTCACCGTGCCTGGCTGTTTTAGATTCTCCTTGGGAGGCTTGATAGTTTTCCTTTCCTTTTCTGTATGTTCTTGCCTCTTTCGCTTGGATGAGGAGGTTGCTGTTGCTGCAAGTGGTGTGGCTTTTCACTCACTCCAGCCTGTATTTTGACTACGAGCTCTGGTAACATCATCTTGGTGGTTCATTGTTCATTAATCTTGGACTTGAGGCTGAAGAAGGGCTTCTCAGCCATATTCTCTGCAACAACGTTGGCACTCTGTTGGATAAGGGTATTTTTGCTTGGACATAGTCTGGGATGCCAGGATGGCCTACCAAGGGTTAGATAAATTTGATCACTTTGGTGCCAATAACCTTGTTATAGTGCTTGGAAAATTGGTTAAATATATAATACAATGGATCCTCGAGTGATGAGCGCCTCAATTTACGAGCATTTTGAATAACGAGCGCGCAGATCGCCGACAATTTGTTTGGATTGGCGAGCGCTCGTTTGATTACCGAGAAAACCGTTCCCGATGCTTCTCGCACATTCTCGGATGTCTCCGAAGATGCAAATAAGTGATTATTTTTTTTTTGTTCAAAGATGCTAATGATGCTGGGATGTAAAGGGGTGATTGCTGTGATGTTGCAAAGGATTGATTTTTTTTGTAGAATAAACAAAAAAATGCCAAAAAATTGAAAATAGAACAAATGTCAAAAAGGTCCGTTCAGTATATGTCGGGTAGGCTGCTCCATCTTTTCATTTATTTATTTATAATGGAGCAGCCTACCTGGCACACACTGAACGAACCTTTATGACATTTTTCAAATTTGTTCAATTTTTTTTTAAGAAACATGGAGCAGCCTACCTGACTTACACTGAACAAACCTTTTGCTATCAAAAATGAATATAAAAAAGTGAACAAAGTTGAAAAAAGAACCAATGTCATAAAGGTTTGTTCAGTGTATGTCAGGTAGGCTGCTCCATTATTTAAAAAACTGAATGTCATATTGATGTTTTCGGTGGTGGGACGCATTATTTTTATTTCCAATATTTAAACTGGGGACATTCGTTTTGAAAGACGAGCATTTCACATGACGAGCTCGGTGCCGGAACGGATTAAATTCGTTAATCGAGGTTCCACTGTACAATTATACAGTAATTGGCTACAACAGAAAAGTTATATTTTTTTAGTACAGCATATAGAGTACATTAAATATGAAAGATAATGTGATGTGAATAAGGAAGAAAAATGTTATCATTTGAAAATTTGTGTAAATCTCAAAATTTTAATTTATGATAATGATTGTGCAGGCCAATAATTATCTTTTTTCAGACTGGAGCAAGCTGTGGGTATGCATATATAGAGTTTGAACACTACGAAGTTGCAAAGATTGTGGCCAAAATTATGGATGGCTACCTCACTTTTGGAAAAATTATGAAATGTAAGTTGTGTTTTGTACAAAAGGCCATAGTTGTAGATGTATTGTCAAGTTTTTCTTGGTCAAAATATAAAAGATTAAGAAACAAATCTTTTGAAGCAATGTGATAGAATTGAATGTGTCCTAAGGCACTAATGTGTGTGTTTGGAGCGACTTGAGGTACTAATGTGTGTGTTTGGAGCGACTTGAGGTACTAATGTGTGTGTTTGGAGCGACTTGAGGTACTAATGTGTGTGTTTGGAGCGACTTGAGGTACTAATGTGTGTGTTTGGAGCGACTTGAGGTACTAATGTGTGTGTTTGGAGCGACTTGAGGTACTAATGTGTGTGTTTGGAGCGACTTGAGGTACTAATGTGTGTGTTTGGAGCGACTTGAGGCACTAATGTGTGTGTTTGGAGCGACTTGAGGCACTAATGTGTGTTTGGAGTGACCGGAGGCACTAATGGGTGTGTTTGGAGCAACCGGAGGCAGTAATGTGTGTGTGTGGAACGACTTGAGGCACTAATGGGTGTGTTTGGAGCGACCGGAGGCACTAATGGGTGTGTTTGGAGCGACCGGAGGCACTAATGGGTGTGTTTGGAGCCACCTGAGGCACTAATGGATGTGTTTGGAGTGACCAGAGGCACTAATGGATGTGTTTGGAGCGACCGGAGGCACTAATGGATGTGTTTGGAGTGACCTGAGGCACTAATGGGTGTGTTTGGAGCCACCTGAGGCACTAATGGGTGTGTTTGGAGTGACCGGAGGCACTAATGGATGTGTTTGGAGCGACCGGAGGCACTAATGGGTGTGTTTGGAGCCACCTGAGGCAATAATGGGTGTGTTTGGAGCCACCTGAGGCTCAACTTGAGGCACTAATGGGTGTGTTTGGAGCAACCGGAGGCAGTAATGTGTGTGTGTGGAACGACTTGAGGCACTAATGGGTGTGTTTGGAGCCACCTGAGGCACTAATGGGTGTGTTTAGAGCTACCTGAGGCAATAATGGGTGTGTTTGGAGCGACCTATACTGCCAGTTCAGTTCCATCATATTGCTGAAGGAGATTTTCTCATAGATGTATCACACTATTATGATGTATCACACTAAATTATTACAATTTCCTGCCATTACTTTAATAGCAGAAGCAAGTGTGAAGACTAAACCACACGCCAGAAGGAGACGCAACTACGTTTCTGTTCGGCCTGGACCATTATCAAGTCGGCTGATCACAATCGACTTGATAATGGTACGGGACGAACTGAAATGTTGTCGTCTCTCCGTCTTCTGGTGTGTGGTTTAGTCTTCGTATCTTCAGCCACGTTATTGTAACTCATCATCTGCTGAAGCAAGGTTGAATTATAGGGTTTTGACACCCATCATTATAGAGGAAAATAGGGGGTGTTATTAGTTTATCTTGATATTTCTACCAAATATACTGTACCAAATATGTATTTTTGATATATATGTGTTTGAAATTGCAAAATTTGGGCCCTGTTCCCCCTTCCCCCCACCCTTTCTTTAATGGGAAGTTGTATGATTGGATCTGGATTTAATGGAAAGTTATGAGATTCTTATCTACACCCAATCTACAATGGTAGATTGGGTGCAGATAAGTAATTTAAACATGTTAGTAAAATTTGAAATTAAATATCTTGTTGTGTTATTCTACACAGCCCCAGCTACTTATACTATTTGGTATAACAACGGCCCTGCCTCTTGCAGACATTGGTGTTCAATTCCCGATGGGCCAAATGGTTGGGTAGCATTCCTTTATGCTAGTCTCATCCCACCTTGACCTTGAGGTTACCTTGAGGTGCTTCCGGGGCTTAGCGTCCCTGCGGCCTGGTCGTTAACCAGGCCTCCTGGTTGCTGGATTGGTCAACCAGGCTGTTAGATGTGGCTGCTCACTGCCTGACGTATAAGTCAGAGCCTGGTTGATCTGGTATCCTTTGGAGGTGCTTATCCAGTTCTCTCTTGAACACTGTGAGGGGTCGGCCATTTATGCCCCTTATGTGTAGTGGAAGCGTGTTGAACCTTCTCGGGCCTCTGATGTTGATAGAGTTCTCTCTCAGAGTACATGTTGCACCTCTGATTTTTAACGAGGGTATTTTGCACATCCTGCCAATGCCTTCAGGTCTGATGTGATGTTATTTCTGTGTGCAGGTTTGGGACCAGCCCCTCTTAATATTTTCCATGTGTACATTATTATCTATCTCTCCCGCCTGCGCTCAAGGGAATGCAGATTTAGGCTCTTTAGTTGGTCCCAGTAGTTTAGATGTTTTACTGAGTGGATTCTAGCAGTAAAGGATCTCTGCATGCTCTCCAGGTCAGCAATTTCTCCAGCTTTGAAAGGGGCTGTCATTGTGCAGCAGTACTCCACTCTAGAGAGCACTAGTGATTTGAAAAGTATCCTCATCGGTATAGCATCTCTAGTGTGAAAAGTTCTCGTTATCCAACCTGTCATTTTTCTTGCAGTTGTGACGGTTACTTTATTGTGTTTTTTAAAGGTAAGGTCTTCCGACATGAGTACACCCAGATCCTTTACATTGCCTTTTCATTCTATGTTATGATTTGACTGAGTTTTGTACGTGGTTTCTGTTTATATATTTTCATTTTTTCTGTAGCACATGAGCTGGAAGTTATCTTCGTTAAATACCATATTATTTTCTGTAGCCCATAGAAAGGCTCGATTTACATCTGATTGGAGGTTTGCTGTGTCCTCTGTTGTCTATTCTCATGAAAATCCTCGTGTCATCTGCAAAGGATGATACAGTACTATAGATTGTGTTCTTGTCAATGTGCGATATGAGGATGAGAAAAAGTATTGAAGCAAGCACAGTGCCCTGAGGGACTGAGCTCTTCACGGTTGATGGTCCGGATTTTATTTTGTTGACTATTGCACATTGGGTTCTGTTAGTCAGGAAATTGTAGATCCATCTGCCTATTTTTCCGGTAATTCCTTTTTTAATGCATTTTATGTGCAATAACACCATGGTCACATTTGTCGAAGGCTTTTGCGAAATCTATGTAAATTACATCAGCATTTTGTCTTCCATGGCATCTAATGCCATGTCATAGTGGTCCAGCAACTGTGACAGGCAAGAGTGCCCTGTTCTGAAACCATGTTGTCCGGGGTTATGGAGATGCTGTGATTCCATGTACAGTATTTTGTGATCTTTCTTCTTAGTGCACTCAAAGATTTTTATGACGTGCGATGTTAGTGCTATCGGTCTGTAATTTTTTGCCTCTGCCTTATTTCCTCCTCTATGGAGTGGTGCTATCTCTGCTGTCTTTAGTATGTTAGGGATAATGCCAGTATCTAAGCTTTGTCTCCAAAGAATGTGAATGGCCTGCGATAGTGTTTTTTTACAGTTCTTGATGAATATGGAGTTCCAAGAATCAGGGCCTGATGCAGAGTGCATAGGCATACTGTTTATAGCTTCTTCAAAATCCAGTGGGGATAGGGTGACATCTGATATATGATTTGATGTTGGTATCATACCGATGAAAAATTTATTTGGGTTATCAATATTTAGTGTATTGTTCTTAGTCTCTTAATGCTTTTTCATAGTGACTGTGCTTTCTCCTTTTAATTACCTTGCCTTATTATACATAGTTCAGCTCTTTATGGTCAAATAATTGGTCATATTTGATTGCACATAGCTCAATGTTTCTCCAATACTAATTTGATGCTACCATGGACAGGTCAAATCGTTCCTCCTGAGCGGGTATCGGATAAACTCTTTGCTGATCGATATATACGACCAAGAAACTGCCCTAGGGTATTGAGTAGAACAGCTGCCATTAACCAGGTATGTTAAATCACAGTTCAAGATATTTGTTTATTAAGTAAAATAATGATTGCGCATCTTAATGTTAATTTTCAGGTTTTACTGTTATTAGAAAATAAGTTTTTAAATTGTTGTATAGTATAACAAATTTACACGATCTTGAATTAACCTGAAGTAAATTGTATTAAAAAATAAATAAAATATGAGTTCACTGAATAAATCTAACTTTTGTCTGGGTTGGAGATGTAGAGCACTTGAAAAATATTTGACATCTATAGATTAAATTCATAAATCTAATTGGCAGATTGTTGATTGATTGATCTAATGTAGACTACAGTAAATGTAATTCCTAATAAACTTAAGAAAAGCTTGAGTAAGTTCATTAAAAATTTAACCTAAGATGTCTTCATGTTTCCCTGAACTCATACAGCCTCGATGTGGGATAATTGTCATTACTATTACCATGCTTTAATTTTGATTTCTCTATCTTGGCTGGTGTTCGATCTCCAAACAATTCAAGTGGTTAAGCATCATTCCTTCACTCCCCTTTCCCAGCTTTGTCCTTGTGTCTCTTTCATGTGCTCTATAGTCATGCTTCCATTATTTTCTCCTCAAAATTTCCTTCCGTTCTTGATACTCTGATAATGATACTTTTTTTTTTTTTTTTTTTTTTTTTTTTTTTTTTGCAGCTCAATAAGCGACGCACTCTGGGACAGGCGAGGAGTAGGAGACGTAGGCTAGCTGATGCTTACAGGCAGAAAATGGATGTGTTGAACAATTTGGGTATTAGTTTGGACCTTGGACTGCCTGGAGTGGTAGGTTGACTTTTGAAGGGTGTGGATTACTTGGAAGGGGGAAAGAATTAAAGCCATACTGTACATACAAACATACTGTACATACATTAATAAGATACAATAAATTTGAAGACTGTATGGCATGAATACGGTAATTAATATCTTGTACAGCAGTATAAAATGAAAAACTTAGCCGGGATGGGAATAAGTAAAAGAAATCAAAGCTTCACAACACTTCATACCTTACCTTACCTGACCACCAGTAATTTATATCCCTTTAGCCTATATTACAAACCGAAAAATGTAGTCAGAGTTGTTCTATGTCAATAAAATTGAGAAAAGTAAATCGGAGAGAACCTAACATAATTTTTTTCAAACCTTTGCGGTTTGTCACCATTGTAGTTCCCTTCTTTTTTAATTTCGATATTAAGGGGCTCCTGAATTTGCCCCTTATATAGTTAACCAACAGTTAACCCCGTAAGGTCTAAATCCGGCCCTGCTCCCAGAAATCTATATTCATAATGAAATGTAAAAGTACCAATAGGTGTAATAGGGAGAATAGTATAAATAGTTGAATAGTGTAATAAGTGCTTGATATAATAGAGAAAGTAAACTTGGATGCAGGTTATGTGCCAGTCACTTAAATCAGTTGATATAACTCTGCTCTACAAAGGAAAAAAGCAAAGTGTTGGCTAAAATTTAGAGTGATTAGGAGTTAAGTCTCCAGTTTTATGGTGAACAGTGAACTTCACAATGGAAGTCAATATGGATTTAGAGCAGGAAGTTCCTACCTTTTGCAATTAATTAACCACTGACAAAATAATGTGAGTTTTAGAAAGAAAACAAAATGCAGATTAAGTATATACATGAACTTTGCAAAGGCATTTGATAAATGTGACCATGGAGTGATAACCCATATGTTTACAGCCTCACTTAGCCAGTAACTGGGTTCTTTACTTATCAAACTGTATTTGGAACCTAAGTGCCTCTTCTTACTCGATCCCACCCTGAATCTTGGGCAAGTTATTAAAAACTAGCAGTAATAATCATTCTAAAGGAAAAGTGGGTAAACAACACAAAACAGAACCATCACCAAGTGTACTTCCTAACTATATACAGTATACACATATGCACTCAACACTGTAAGGGTCACATTCACACAGGACACTATAAAATTTCTGCAGTTTTCTTTCCCGGTGAGTCCATTTCTATCTTCTATTGTATACTACTCAGGGTTATTTCCCTGTGACTGTCTTCTATGGTCCTCATGCCGGCAAGTTCACCTTTCTCGGTAAACCATGAGCCAGTCCCACACAGTATCGTCACGGTGCCAAAACACCACTTGTACTCTCCAGCAACACGCTGGCAGAGGTCTCCAGCACTGGCAGCCTTTCACACAGTCTTATAACAAGCCTTAACCCTTAAACTGCACATGGTGTATATGTACGCTATGAATAACATGTCTCACGGTGCACATGGTGTATATATATGCCATAGGGTGCCAGGCACGATTCAAAATGGCCCGCGGCTACACGGGGTTCACATTAGCTTCCTCAGGGCTCTTGTAAACAGACGCCATTTAAAAAAAAAAATCGTGGGCAATATTCTCCGACAGGGTAGATGAGGGTAAACTATTCAACACTGGTGGTACGCGAACAAGGGGACACAGGTGGAAACTGAGTACCCAAATGAGCCACAGGGATGTTAGAAAACTTTTTCAGTGTCAGAGTAGTTAAAAGGTGGAATGCATTAAGCAGCGATGTGGTGGAGGCTGACTCCATACAGTTTTAAATGTAGATATGATAAGAGCCCAGTAGGCTCAGGAATCTGTACACCAATCTACAGACAGATTGTACGGAAGGAAGAGTAATAGTCAGGTTGTAGGGACGACCTGACTAGCCGGTCGGCCGAGCGGACAGCATGCTGGACTTGTGATCCTGTGGTCCCGGGCGCCGGCGAGAAACAATGGGCAGAGTTTCTTTCACCCTATGCCCCTGTTACCTAGCAGTAAAATAGGTACCTGGGTGTTAGTCAGCTGTCACGGGCTGCTTCCTGGGGGTGGAGGCCTGGTCGAGGACCGGGCCGCGGGGACACTAAAAAAGCCCCGAAATCATCTCAAGATAACCTAAAGACCGCCAGAGTCTTGACGGTCACCAGGTCCTACCCATAGTACCATTCTTTCTTTAGGAAGAGTCATGGTCAGTGTGTGGTAGTCCTAGGCCAAAGCTAGAATATGCAGCGGCTTGTGTGGTGCCCGTATCTTAAGAAGCACATCAACAAACTGGAAAAGGTGCAGACATGCTACTGAGTGGCTCCCAGAACTGAAGGGCAAGAGCTACGAGGAGAGGTTAGAGGCATTAAATATGCCAAAACTAGAAGACAGAAGAAAAAGAGGTGATATGATCACTACATACAAAATAGTAACAGGAATTGATAAAATCGACAGGGAAGATTTCCCGAGACCTGGAACTTTAAGAACAAGAGGTCATAGATTTAAACTAATTAAACAAAGATGCCGAAGAAATATAAGAAAATTCACTTTCACAAACAGAGTGGTAGACAGTTGGAACAAGTTAAGTGAGAAGGTGAAGGCGGCCAAAATCGTCAATAGTTTCAAAGCGTTATATGACAGTGCTGGGTAGATGGGACACCACGAGCGAAGCTCTCATCCTGTAACTACACTTAAGTAATTACCAGTTGATTGACTTTTGAGAGGCGGGACCAAAGAGCTAAAGCTCAACCCCCGCAAGCACAAATAGGTGAGTACACACACACACACACACACAACAAAATAAAAAGATAAAGCAGGCAAAAAAATTATATACTAATAGCACTAACATCACACATAAAAATCTTTTGAGTGTTAAAAAGTAAGATCACAAAACACATGTAATCACAGTGCCTATATAGCCCTGAACAATATAGGTTTAGAACAGGGCACTTCTGCCTCTGACAATTGCTAGACCAATATGAAATGGCCTTAGCTTAGAAAAACAAGCAAAATGCTGATAAAATATACACAGATTTTGCCAAAATTTTAATCAGATGTGATCATGGTGTTTTTGCACACACACAATGCCCACAAAAGTAATTACTGGCAAAGTTGGAAGATGGAGCTTTAATTTCCTAATGAACAGAACCCAGTGTGTAATAGTCAACACAGTAAACGCTGGGTTATCCACCTTGAAAAGCTCAGTCTCCCAGAGGTACTGTCTTTGTTCCAGCACTTTTTCATCCTCATATCAGATATAGACAAGGATATAAACTATAGTACCATATGATGACCAAACCACACACCAGAAGATGAAGAAAGTATAAAGTTTCAGTCCATTCTGGACCATTATCAGGTCGTATGTGATTATCAAGGCACATGCCACTTGATAATGGGCCAGGACAGACCAAAACGTTGTCGTTTCTTCATCTTCTGGTGTGTGGTTTGGTCCTCATTTCTTCAAACATAATTGACTCATTGTCTGCCTATACTGTAGTACCATATCTTACTTTACAGACGATGCTAGGATTTTTATGAGAGTAGACAATATTGACAACACAGCAAACCTCCAATCTGATGTAAATCAGGTCTATCAATGGGCCACAGAAAATAATATGTTTACCAAAGCTCTTGCAAAGCAAAGTTCCAGCTCTTGCACTATGGAAAACTAAAATATCAAAACGGAAGCCAGATAAAACTCGGTCAAATCGCTGTATAGAACGAAATAGCAATATAAAAGATTTGGGAGTAATCCAGTTGGAAGACCTTAACTTTAAAGAACACAATAATGTTCACAATAATGTAAAGTAGTGAAAAATGACAGGTTGGGTAACAAGATCTTTTCAAACAAGGGATGCCATACCAATGATGATAATTTTTAAGACACGGTGCTCTCTAGAGTAGAATATTGTTGCACGTTAACAGCCCTGGTCAAAGCTGGAGAAATGGCTGACCTGGAGAACATGCAAAACACCTTTACTGCCAGAATCCACTCAATAAAACATCTAAATTATTTGAACCATTTAAATTTTTAAAATCTTTATTCCCTCGAGTGCAGGCGAGAGAGATACTCTACATAATAATTTGAACTTGGAAAATATTAGGATTGGTTCCAAATCTGCATGTGGTAATAACTTCACGCGAGACCAGGAGACATGGCAGGATCTGCAAAATAGCCCCATTGAAAAGCAAAGGTTGGCTAGGGATGTTGAGAGAACTCTTTCAACATCAGTGACCCAAGACTTTCCAACACCTTCTAAACATGAGGGGCATAACTAGATGACCTCTCATGGTGTTCAAAAATATAACTTGATGAACACCTCGGAAGGAATAATGATCGATGCGGCTGTGATTCATTCATCAGGCTACGTCCAGCTGCATCTAAAAGGCTGGTTGACCCGACCACCAACCAGACCTAGTCACAGACTGGGCTGCTGGTACATTGATCCTGAGAACCAACTTAAGGTAACCAAAAGGGAAAGTAAAGGTAACCATGATACAAGACTACTAGACGAGCCCCCCTCCTTTTCCAGCCCATTGTCATTGTGAGGGGGTGCTTGGTGGGCTGCTGTCAGTGTGATGCTCCATGGGACAGTCCTCTGTCCTTTTGAAGGCTTATGCTCCTGCTGCTATCTTCACTAATTTTGCTGGAAAGTATTTTCTCTGTGATTAATGGAATCAACTATTGCTGGCCGACAAACAGTGGCTATATTACCTGTGAATTCGGGGGTAAATAATAAGTTTACTGACACTTATCTGGAATTCATCATAAAGGGAGTGAACGGTCAGCTTGTGGACTTGGTCATCTATCACATTGTAGCTGTCTCTTGATTTGACTCAAAAAGATGGAACTACCCGAAGGTAGTTCGCCCGAGGGGCGCCTGACAGCTGGGTGGACAGCGCTTCAGATTCATAGTCCTGAGGTTCCGGGTTCGATCCCTGGTGAAGGCGGAGACAAATGGGCAAAATATTTTTCACCCTGATGCCCCTGTTACCTAGCAGTAAATAGGTACCTGGTAGTTAGACAGCTGTCACGGGCTGCTTCCTGGGGATGGAGGCCTGGTCGAGGACCGGGCCGCGGGGACACTAAGCCCCGAAATCATCTGAAGATAACCCCTATAGATGCTGCTAAAAACGTCTAGTTTGTGAATGGATTGTCACAAACACTATTCAAATCTGCTATTGTGTATTTTCACGAGACCGTGGTAGACACTATTTCCTTATTCTCCTTCTGGCTGTACATAAAGCCATTATATATGATTTCTGGATGTAATGCTACGTGTAAAGTAAGACGATCTTACCCTCTGCTGTCGAGGTGATGATTCGCTTTTCCTTCAACGGTGGCTTCAACTTGCGATTGATGCCGTGTCGTCTTGGGCCACCAATCATGGCTTCAAGTTCTCTACTACTAAAACTTGTGCTATGACTTTTACTCGGAAGCAGGTCATTCTTCGTCCCTATTTGTCGCTTTATGGTCATCCCCTTTAGTACAAAGATTCTGCTAAACTTTGACATTCATTTGTCTTGGTCACCCCATTTCTCTTGCCTCTGAGTTGAATGCTCTAAGGCCCTTAACCTAAGGTCTTGTCCCATAATTCTTGGGGAGCTGATAGGTGCACGCTCCTCTTTGCATTCCTGTCTCGTTCTATCTAAACTCGATTATGGATTATTACAGGATCGCCGTGATCGCTACTGTCTTCGCTACCTTGCACGGTCCTTACAACACCCTCACTCTCGCCTATGTTGTGCCTTGACTTTTACCACTCCTATGGTTCCTGTTCCTCTTCACCACCTACCTCCTCCTGTACAGTTGTTTCGCTTACAAAATGCTCTTCCGGTTCGTGTTAACAATATTTTCCCTTGTGCCATTCCGTCTTTGCCCCCCACGGAGGGGTCCCCTTTCCTAAATTTGGTAAAACATTGACCCACGTGACTAAAGATTTTACCCCTTCCCCCTGCAGTTTTGAAATACCTTTTCCTTTAACACTTCTCTTCTCCTGCACCATTTCCGTCTTCACCGAAGGGTCTAAGTCTGCAGACAGTGTAGGCTACTCTTGTTTTTCCTGACCACACCTTTGTGTTGCCTTCCTCTGGAGACTAGCATCTTCATGGCAGAACTTTAAGCTATTCTCTATGCTCTTTGTCAGCTGCTTTCTCGCTGTCACTCCTCCTTTGTTGTAGTAGTTGACTCTCGCAGTGCCCTCATGGCTCTGGAGTCCTTTAATCCAGTCCATCCTGTGGTAGTCAAAATTCAACATTGACTGTTTTTTATCTCCAGTAGATTTAAGACAGTGGAGTTTTGCTGGGTTCCCAGTCATGTTGGCGAGTCCTTAAATGAGCATGCGGACGCTGTTGCTAAGGAAGCTATCCGCACCTGTCCCATCTCCCATAAAGATATTCCTTATTTCGACTTTTACCCAGTTATTCATACCTCCATTCTGGCCTGTTGGCAGGGTCATTGGTGTTCTGTTACTGTTTACAAACTGCATGCTTTTAAGAGTATTGTGTCCCTGTGGCCTTCCTCCTACCACCATAACCGGCGGTGGGAAACTGCTCTGGCGAGGTTAAGTATTGGCCATATAGGTTTAACTCATAGGCACTTAGTGGAGTGCCGCCCTGCTCCTTATTGTCCAAACTGCATTGTCCCTCTTGCGGTCGTGCATATCCTTGTTGAATGTCCTGACTTCCAGGACGTATGTGTCTTGCTTCCTGACCGTTCCTTACGGTCACTTGTCCCTCGATAGAATTCTTGGTGAATTGGATACCTTTGATATTGTTCGCCTTATGCGTTTTTGTTCTCGTATTGGCATTCTTAGTGATATTTATCGCCCTATGATTATCCCACACATTTGATGGTGCTACATAGCCTTCCCAGCTTGGTGCCTTCTTTTTGATAATTACTGATTAGACGAGCCATTTAAGGGTTAATCACAATACCTGCGCTTGACATATTGTACCCTTTCTGTATATACAGTACATTTAAAATAAATATATATATATATATATTTATAAAAAATATATACATATGCATGTATGCTATTTATGTTTAACCATTTTCAGAAGCTTCAATCTGCTGGTAATGACATCAATGAAAATTCTGATGCAGATAAAATTGAAATGTGTGAAGAAAATGTGGAACTTACGGAGGAGCAGAGAGTAGAGTTTAGCAAAGCAAAGAAGGACTTGACTAATAAGGTTAGTTAAATATCATTATAAAACATTTAAATATTCCTAATTACCTAAGTGTTGTTGCAGGATAAGAGCCTCAGTTGCGGTGTTCCATCTTCCCAGTACTCTGTCATATGACGCTTTGAAACTATCTCTTTGTTTTGGCCTCCACTGCCTTCTCACTCAACTTGTTCCAACTGTCTACCACTCTGCAAAAGTGAACTTTCTAATGTTTTTTCAGGAGCTTTGTATTCTTAGTTTGAATCTTATGTCCTCTTGTTCTTTAAGTTGGATGGTTTCAAGAATTCTTCTTTATCAATTTTCTCGATTTCTATTACTATTTTGTACGTAATGATCATATCGCCTTTTTTTTCTTTTATCTTCTAGCTTTGGCATATTTAACACCTCTAAACTCTCATAATTAAGGTGGCCAGATGCCGAGAGGAACAGAGCGACTGCCTGTCTCTCTCAGCGAGAGACAAGAGAGTTGGCCGTGGCCTTTTTAGGGATTGGGAAATGGCCACCCCTACTTGTAGCTCCTGTTTTTCAGTTCTGGAAGTCATATAGTTGCACGTCTCTGCACGTTTTCCAATTTATTGATGTGCTTCTTGAGATATGGACACCATACAACCACTGCATATTCCAATTTTGATCTCAGTGGTTTTAAAAAAATTTTAAAAGTTGTTCATGCCTACGCTAGGCTTCCCAACTTCAAATAAGTGATTCTGAAGTTGGAAATCATAGCATAGGCTCCTCACACAGTGTTTGTTATGTGGTCCTCGTGTGAACATAGTCATGTTTGTATAGTTCCGCATTGTCAAGGATAGGATTGCACATTGTCTAATACAACTGTTTTGGGTTGCATCCTAACCTCTTTCTACTATTTACTGTTAGATGAACAGGGTCATCAGGTGAAACGAAACTTGCCAGTCTTTCTGCCGAGACCCTGTGGTGTTGAGCCGACTGTGTTGACCACTGCGTCATATACTTGTTTTGGTATATCTGTGTGTGGATGTGCTTCATGGTACTGCTGGATATTTAAAGTATGTTTTGTTTTTTGCAGATAAAGGTTAGTCTGAAGAGAATGGCAAAAACGAAAAAAGGGAAAAAAATGGCTGAAAAAGCAACTGAGGATATGAACCTTCAAGAACCTGTTAATGGTACTGAACCTCCTACAAACCCACCATGTAAAGCTGTGTTATCCACTAAAAAGAGTTTGGGCCGTGCAAAGAAAACTTCTCAGAAGATTAAGAAACTGACTGGCAAAGGTTTGGTTTGCAAGAAAATCATTAAGATGCAAAACACATTGGAAGAGAGAGGCATTTCAAATGATGAAAGTGCTTCTGAGAACCAGGTTTCCTCTGCAGGTATTGAACTAAATGGGAAAAAGTCACCAATTAATAGAGTTACTGCTGTGAAAAGGAAACTGAACAACAATCAAACACAGACAAAGAAATCAATCAAAAGGATCAAAGCTGTGCCAGTTGCAACGGGATCAGATTCCCAGTCTCTATCGGCTGTGAAACGTCAGAAAAATAGAAATAAATCTCCAACAGATGCATCTAAAAGTGAAATAACACAAATACAAACAGAGAAAGTACATTTGCCCAAAGCTGGTAAGAAAAATCGAACTCTGAAGAAAGCTAAAACTCTTCAAAAGAGAAAAATTCTCAAAATAACTTCGCCTAAAAATACGGTAATAGAGAACGTGGATCAGACTCCAACTCTAAACTCGCTGAAAGTTTCACAGTCACCGGGGAAAGTACAGATGTCTGTAACTCCTAATAAATCTAAAACCCCTAAGAAAGATAAAACTGTCAAAGGTAAAATTAATAAGATGGTAGCATCTTCAGATTCAGCTCTGAGGAGCACTGTGATGAGAGTGGCTCAGTCAACAGAAGATTTGGAGTTATCCTCAACTCCAAAAAGAGCAAAAATGCCTGAAGAGGTGAGTGTACCAGCAAATAATGTACAGTTATCCACAAATCTGGACAAATCTGTGATGCCCAAGAAACGTAAAATGCCCCAAGAAGCTGAAACTCCAAAGAAAGCCAAGACCCCTAAAAAGAAAAATCATAGCCCAAGCTCTGTTCAGACTCCCAAGATGATTAAAAGTGGGAAAGTAATGGTTACTCCCAAAATTCTAGGCTCTGGAAAGAAAACGCCTCAAAAAGCTAAAACTCCAAAGAAATTCAAGACCCCTAAGAAGGCAGTTACTCCTGAGGAAGTTTTACCTTTGAAAAAAATACATAGCCCAAGCTTTGTTCAGACTCCCAAGATGATTAAAAGTAAGAATGTAATGGTTACTCCCAAAATTCTTGGCTCTGGAAAGAAAACTAAATTGGTAGATAAAAAACTCATGGCAACAAAAAAGAAGTTCAAACTGTCTACACCTCTACCAATCACTCCCAGGCAAAAGATTAAAACAAAAGCCCCCAAGTCTGCTTAGATGAAATTTGCTGTCCATGTTCTTATTTTATTGGGAAATATATGTATTAAATAGATTTTCAAGAGAAGTGTATGATTGAGCTATGTTTATATTTATCGACAGTACTATACTAGAATAAAGTATTGTGCTTTTCATTAAATTACTCTGTTAATCCAATACTTTTGACATCACTTCTCCTCTTGTACTTCAGTGATACCTATCTTCTTGAATCTGGAATGGGTTCTGGGAGATGTTCTTCTCACTAAGCCCAGCCTGGGGCCAGGCTTGACCACTTTAGACTGCAAAATAGTCTTCAGCCTTGATGCCCTCATTTTGAGTACTGTACTACTTTAACCCTAAAGTGAGGTTATTGTCATACATAGGTTCACAGGGTAATGTAGTTATCTTGTGTGGATTCTAACTTCAAAAGAGAAAAATTCTCAAAATAATTTCGCCTTCGCCTTAATTAACTTCAAAATAACTATTATTGTCTGGGTTTTATATCAATATGGATATAGTGGCTATATGGATGTAATACAGTTTACGTAGATCAATGAAAAAGTCAAGCTATTTTATTATTGCTTACTAAGCAAATGTGGTTATCACAAATGTAATTTGCCAATGCATTAATTGTCAAAAATAAAATAAGTACGTAATTATGTATACTGATTATGTTCATATAGTTTTCTCAACTATATGGTGACAATGAAGTTCATTACATGTACCGTACAAGTGGCATGTCTTCATCTCTGGGCGTCTATATTGTCGCTCCATATGGTTCCATTTATCCTCTGTGGCATCACCCAGAACAGCACTCATCAATATTTTGTTCATACAACATTGAAACATACATAAATACATACAGTGTAAGCCTAATACAGTGTAGATGACAAATCAGGGAGGCCCCCCTCCCCCCTCAATTGTGAGACAAGTCTACTGTGCTACATGGTTGCTACACATCTGTATATCCATATACAAGAGATTCACTGAACTAATGCCTCCTACACCCCCATTATTAAATTAAAACATTGCATCCACATTATTTTTTCTTACTGCCCATTTGACTTGCCGTACCTTTTTAGAAAGGTTCTGACCTTCATTACGTTACACTTATCTATTGAATTTCAGCAGCCATTTATCAGCACAGCTATGCCTTATGGAGACTGAAGTGACAACTATGTCCCAAATAGTCTATGAAGGTGACAACCCTTACGTAAGTAATTATCAAAAGAAGGCACCAAGCCAGGTAGGCTATGTAACACCAAAACCCTTACATAAACTGTAAAGGTGACAGCCATGTCCCTTAAATAAACTGAAGGTGACAGCCATGTCCTTTGCATAAACTGAAGGTGACAGCCATGTCCCTTACATAGACTGAGCCTTATGGAGACCATGAAGAAGATAGCTGTACACCTTATGGAGACTGACGGTAATAACCATGTACCTTATGAAGATGGTGAAGGTGATAACCACGTACCTTACAAAGACTGTGAAGGTAACAGTTGTGCCTCTTTGTGCCGAAGGACGGTAAAAGAGACAGACAGGTGAAATATGGACTTGTAAATGAATATCATTGTAAGCAGTTAAAATGAACTTTCTAGAAAGGTTGATCTACCTGATCAACCAGGCTGTGATACACACGTCAGGCTGCAAGCAGCCACATCAAACAGTCTGGTTGATCAGTCCAGCAACGAGGAGGCCTGGTTGACGACCGGGCCGCGGGGACGCTAAGCCCCGGAAACATTTGAAGGTAACTGCCTTATAGAGACTTGAGAAGGTGATAACCATATGTCTTACGGAGACTTGAGGGTGAAAGCCACGTGGTTACTCGTCTAATATTTTATATGGTTTTGACCAGAACCACTAATGCTACAACAGTAATTCTTATGGAAGCTGGAACATGACGCTAAATGCTAATAATGGAAAGCAGTTAGCTATGTAGTTTAAACATTTAGCTGGTTGGTCCTTGAATCCACTACAATGGCAGATTGGATAATACACAGGATTCTCAAATTTAAATTAAAAACACCTGTATGTATTCTTGAATCCAAAGGCTTCAATATTTATTGTCATATATTAAACAAAGAATAAAATTTTATTCAATGAAACACTGCCTGTATTTCCATAATTATGAAAACAGTACACTTATTAAATATTTTAATCATGTAGAGTACAATGCACCCTCCAAAATCCAGACATTCCTGTAATGGATCCCTCTAAACTACTGACAAAATCTGTGCAATGGATATTCCCCTCTAAATTGTAGATTTCTAAACAAAAAAAAATCCAGGATTGGACACTAATCTAGATCATCAGTTCATCATATTGTATTTTTTCCTATTTTGGTTCTTATTTGTAAATACTGTATTATTCTAATTAATGCATTTACATTTTAATATTTAAAGTAAGCTTGTACCGTATTATAAATTGAACAATGAGTTTATGCAAGTTTTTTCCGAGGCATCTAGACCAAGTGAAGAAATGCGTCTCGAACAAGTGTTTTAACTCGAGAAATTTTTTCGGGATGATTGGATTCAATGAGCATCCTGGGTCACCCCAGATGTGAACCTTTCTCATAGATATACAGTATATTATTGTGATTTCATTGTGTGTGTTTTACTTGTTAGTGCATTTTGGTTTCTGGTTATTTAAGCCTTTACACTTGGTTTTTTCTAATATGGGAAAAAAATATTTTTCTGATATTGCTACGAGTTGAAGCCATAATTCTATGGCGAGAACAGTACGAGTAGCTACTCGATCCACATTTCTGAAAAGTAAGGAAGTGATGGCTTTTGGTCTGTCCTAGATCATTACCAAGTTGTGTGAAGAGTGGTAAGGCAATACAAGGTCATAATGTGAGGTGAAAGACATAAGATGAGGAGTAAACCAATAAGCAATGGTGAAGGAACTTCCTTACAATGGATAATATTAATAATGAGGTGTTAGAAGATGAATAGCAGCTGGCGAGGGAGAGGCTTGCAGAGTATAAAAATGCAAACAGATATAGTTTGAAAATAAAATAGAAAGCAATGGTGGAAAGATTAGTAACCAAAACATTGAACCCGTCTGAGCATGAGGATTTAGATGTTGCTGCTAACCAATGACTTGTGCAACACTTTAACGTATAGTTGACTGCTGGTGGTGAGCAGTCTGTGGTTGAAAGAATGGCATTAACTATGGGGACTGAGGAGTTTAAAGCCAGTTCAGAGTGACTGCAGCAGTTTAAGTCACCATGACATTGTGTTGTAATGCTTTTGCAGCCTCTTGTGTTATCAAGACCAGCCAGCGCTACAATAAATTGTTTTTCGTGCGTCATTATTATTCATAGGCAAAAAATCTTTTATTTCTATATTAAATACTGTATACAGCATATGTTTACTTGAAAATGAATAAACATGTACTCTGTTACTGTATACAGTATCTTGCTATTAAGGAAAATTTGGCAAGTAATAAATTTGTAAATTTCTGAAAAATCCAGATGAGGTTTGGAATGACATGTTCTGGATTTTGGAGGTACAACTATAAACAATTTATATAAATAAAATATTTATTCTAGTCTGTTTCCATTTATTCCAAAATTTAATTTAATAATAAAGACAAATCTATCTTTAAATAGCTAAATTTAAACAAATGAAAATATTTCTTTCATTACAGTAATTCTTTTCACAGTACTGTACAGTACTGTACTGTACTGTACTTAGTACATGTAATAAAGAGGTATTTGCAGTACTGTACTTAATACATGTAATATAAAGGTACTGTATTTGATTTAAAACAAATATCAAGAATATCTACAATATTAATAAACACAGTACATTTAAGGTAAGGTGATTAATTATAAGGAGAAAGTGCTAAGCCAGTATGATTACAACACAGCACTTTGAAGTTATATGAGGGTAAGGAGTTGGGACACGAAGATGGAATGAAGGAACGGTGTCCAACTACTTGCACCATCGAAGATTTAACGCCGACTGCATGAACAGAAATCATCAATTTGCCGACCAGTCCAAGTAGATGGTTATTGGTACATTAAAGACAATATCCTTTGTAAAATATAACTAGATATAAAAATTATAATACATCACTTTTAATACAGTATACAAAAATATAATAAAGCAAGTATCATATATGCATTATGAAATGGTAAGCACCTCTCATATATAGTAATGGTGAGCAAGTAAAAAATTAAAACACAGAGCTATGAATCGCCCTCAGATCTTAAAAAAGCACATCCACTATTATGCTGTTCGCTTCAAATCACCACTTACTTATTTGGAAAATATTCATCCATAGGTGATTGTCGAGTTTTTAAGAAAATATTTGCTGGAAAACAATATCCTGTACTTTACATGTCTTCAAAAGAGAACTTGATAAACATTTCCAAAGGATTCCTGATCAATCAGGTTGTAATTCATACATCAAACTGCGAGTAGCAGCATTTAACAGCCTGGCTGATCGAGTCATAAATTAGGAGGCCTGACTAGAGACCAGGCCATTAAGACATTGGTCCTTGGAACCATCTCAAGGTAACACATACTGTGCTTATCAAGACAGACTCATAATATCAGTATTTTATCAGTTTAGACTAATAAAAACAGAATGTAAAAATTCATGGGAAGCAATAACTACTTGGAATGTATCTTTAAGAATAACCAACACAAAGGTTTCTTAACTAACACCTTCAAGTTCTGACCCAGTTCTGCAAGACACCCTGTCACAATTTCCCTACATAGCTGGGAAAAGTGCCTCTTTACTCTCACCTTTGTCGTTGATAAACCATTCACGACACCACTACACTTCACCAGGGCTTACCTTCATCATCAATATGTCCATGGAAATCATGCTCACGCTAGTCCAGACACAGTCTAGACAATACTCCCAGGGTACATACCATAACCCTCCCCCCCGTCAGCCCATGCCAGATGCACCAGCCAGTAGGTGATTAAGACCTACAAATTGAGTTCTCCCGCCGGCGACTAGTTCCCGTCAGCCGTTGACAAAGGATGTGACGTCACTATCAGGGGGTATAAGTACTGTACACCTGATCCTGGCCGTCTCGTCAGTCTCTCTTTAGGTGCTCGGGGATTACGACATTACAGTACTGTCGCGACGCTTGCCTTGCTGCTTTGCGTACAAGTTGTAGTGTTTTGTGTTGTTATTCTAAGTCACAACTGTTATTTTTCGTTGTGTCAACGTAAGTTTTTCATGTGTTATTCTTGCTTTTGTGTGTTAGCAAAGTGTTTCAAGTCAAGGGGTTTGTGTGTAATTCAGATGTTATTTATCTTGATTATAGAGTAAATTGTTATATTACATTATCCGAGTATTTCTTCCTCTCCTACTCAATTCTCACACTGCAAAAGCTCATTAATTTTTGTTTTGTTTTTAATGTTACGCGTGTGCACCTTTCCAACTGCACAGGTAGGACCCACAGTACCGTATCACGCCACACACCCCATTTCAAAAATCTCTTTTCTCCTTTCACGAATGAGTGAACAAATATAATGACAGCGTGTTTCCTGGTTGACCAAACCACACACTAGAAACTGAAGGGACGACGACGTTTCGGTCTGTCCTGGACCATTCTCAAGTCGATTGTGGTTAACTTGAGAATGGTCCAGGACGGACCGAAACGTTGTCGTCCCTTCACTTTCTAGTGTGTGGTTTGGTCAACATATTTCAGCCACATATTTCAGTGACTCCTCATCTGCATGTGTTGCCTGGTGTTGCAGCATTTGGCTCATTGACACTTACTAACCCAACTCACTCATATGAAAGTCCAAGTGAAGACTTTTCAGTCTGTCCTTGACTCTTATCAAATTGTGTCTATCAGCTCATTGACACTTCTATAACCTATTCTCCAAAATGACTACATATAGTGAATGGAGAATGTGGTGGGGCATTAAAGCAAAATATGTACTGTTACATATCTATAACAGTCCACATTATCCTGAAGAATTTTAAGGCATCCTGTAAATAACCACACATTTTAAGCAAGTCAATTATCTAGACCTAACATAAAACACATATACAGTACTGGATATGTAATATTATGCCTAGAATATATTTGGTTAAGCTCGACGTATTTAATTGTTGTTGTTGTGTTCATTTTTAGTTTTAAATGTATATTATCTTTTTGAGATTACCTGAGTAGTTACAGGGTGAGAGCTACACTTGTGATGTCCCGTCTTCTCTATAATCTTTGTCACATGACACTTTGAAACCACTGATGGTTTGTGTTTGTGTGTGTGTAATTATTAAAGTGTAGTTACAGTATGAGAACTATGCTCATGGTTTCCGTCTTTCCTATAATCCTTGTCACATGACACTTTGTGTAGCCGTACTTGCGATACCAAGTTTAATAATGAAGCTTCATACACATGCAACCCAGTACTGTACTTACACATATAAAACCCAACATAGTTCAATAATTTGATTATATAAAAATAATCTAGTTGCTGGTTCTGAACAATAAAGCCATAATTAAAACATCATTACTATACGTGGTCTTAAGAAATAATACTGTACTGTAGGCATCTGCCACTATAGGTAGATGAGGCATCTACCACAACCAGGATTCATCAAGCACTCAAGTGTCCACTTACGACACTTGTACATCTTTCCCCCACCACTTGGGTTGGATGGTAGAACGACAGTCTCGCTTAATGCAGGTCGGCGTTCAATCCCTGATCCTCCAAGTGGTTGGGCACCATCCCTTCCACCTGTTGCGTCCCAAATCCTTATGCTGATCCCTTTCAAGTGATATATGGTCATAATGGCTTGGTACCTTCTCCTGATACTTCCTTTCCCCTTCCTTAATCATGGCTGCTCAGTTTGTAATTGTTACAGTTTATGAATGCCAAAGTGCTACGAGGTTGTTTATAGCAATAATAACGTTAGATTGTGAAGTTTAAAATCTTGTAAACTATTTAATAAATACAGACAAAGCCACCTTTGTTGAGGAAAGATGCATTGTATAAGTTTTGTTAGCAGACACATAAGTGCAAGATGATTCCTGGCCCTGGAAAAGCCAAGAAATTCCTGCTAGACAGGATTTGCTGTACCTGTACAGATAAATGTAAACATTAAAAAAGTATAAACCAGTGAAATATTGGATGCATATAGAATATAGGAACTAATCATCCTATTCAAGCAGAAATCCACTGTATTACATTAGCGAAACTACTTATAAATTAACCCTAAAATTATTTTGCTAATCTCCATTCTTACTGAGCAAAATGCAATGTTATACAATTAAATAACATAAAATACAAAGTTCATATAATTATGCTTGCATAAATATTTGTATAAGGACGACACTACAAATCCTCAAAATCCCAGCAGGTAGCCAAAATTAAAAGTTTTAACATTTTGAACCACAATCTTGCACTTCTGAAAGAGGTACAGTACATCAGCAAAATTACATAATACTCGTCATTATGTAGACCAAGATTTTTTTTGTGTATTAATCCACTTTGTTTATTTTGATATAATTTGCTAAGTTTTCATCAAAACAATGCATTAGAATATGAAAATTAATCCTGGCAAAACTTCTGTAGAAAATGTACAGTACTGTATTAAGAAGCCACATTCCACTGACTTCAAATGCTGAGCTCGGAACCCCCAAAAATTGTTCACAATTTTGTTTTTCATGCAAGGAATTTACATTTAGGAAAAATGTAATACCCATATAAAATTAACTTATGAAAGTACAATAATGGGAAAAATTGCTATAAAATTTTAACATAATTATATTAGAGTACTGAATAACCAACCCTTCTTAACCCCCCCTTTCCCCAAGGCAAATCTGGGCAAACGACATTGATGCAACGCTGAATCAATGATTGTTGATGATGCTGATTTAATGTTACTCGAGCATATATTACCTGCTGGGTTAGTATACTCTAATCTTGAAACATATCATTTAAATTGTCCACCGAAACTCCATGAGCATTATATATTGCAAACTCTACTTTTATCTTGTGTTCAGTCTTTTTCTCATTTACTGTAACCCTTACTTGCCTAATGGAATATATGATTCTAAAAATCTTTGGTTCATGTAATGACTGGATACTTTTTCCCCTTGTAATGCCAGAAATTTTACAAGCAATGACAAATCTTAATGAATACTGCCAACTGCTCCGTAGTCAACAGAAGACACTGATTCAGTAAGAGAGCTGCTGTGAGTGGGTTGTGGGGAATTCAGATTGGGCTGATAACCTTCAGTGCCACGATACAGCACGTAATGCTGAATCATAAAAAAAATGTCAAATATGACTGAGAAAAGACCAAGTCCAAATTTGGTGGGATCTCCAAATATCGACCCCCAATCATTGTAGTTGTAAGCAATGATAAACATCTGAGCAACTGAGAGTGTGCCTCCAGTGAAGTCTAACAGGATGTTGCCGATGCTCCAGCCAGAGGTGCTCTTTCTTCTGTAGTTATAGTATGCCTGGTTAAGAGAAAGAAATGCAAATTAAGGGACTGAAAAATTCACAAATGCTTCAAAACATTGAAAACTAGGCAAGGTAAGGTAATAATTATAAGAAAGTGCTAAGCCAGTATGACTATAATAATTCTCCTTGTAAGGAAGCCTGTATATGCAAGCTCATTGAGATCTCTCAAGGAATATTTAATGTACGTGTAAATAGAACCTAGGCCAATGACTGACCTTTTCCAGGATGCAACCCACAATAGTTGCCAAACTCTCAGGTACCTATTTACTGCTAGGTGAACAGGTATATCAGGTGAAAGGAAATGTGTCAAACCGTTTCTGTCCTGCCTGGGAAATTAACCCGGATCTCTAAACTGTGAGTCGGAGACATAGACCAGTGTCCTGCAGAATGCATATATTGCCATCAGAATTTGTTTTTGTAAATTTTATGTTAACAGGCACTTGTTAAACTGAGATGTGTCTACAAGGGTGTTTTTAACAGGAATACAGTAATGTTTATGTAGGAAACCAGTGAAATTTTGCTGTTTTATGCTATAAATGTGTCTTCCACTGGTGAACCACATTCCAAAAGTTATTAAACATCATTTTTATTCCACTTGTAAAGAGCAAAAATCAGGCTTTGAGTTTTATGAAAAGCACCAATCTGAATAGATCATTCTGCCACTCCTTAGGGTAAACAATCTACTGTGTTGTGACAAGCCTTCTTTGCACATATCAGAAATATTAATAAATAAAATAAATAAATAAATAATAGTAGGCATCTATCAATCCCATGGGGTTATGGAGTTGTGCGCTGGGTGTCTAGTTGGATGCAACGTCTGCTGTGGCTGTGAAGTCCAACCCGAGAATGGCAGTCCCGACTGCAGCGAGTGCAGATAAATGTCGAAGCGGCTGCGTCTGTTGATGGTCGAGACACCTGGTTGATACCTGGTTGACGGGGTTCTGGGAGTTCTTCTACTCCCCAAGCCCGGCCCGAAGCCAAGCTTGACTTGTGAGAGTTTGGTCCACTAGGCTGTTGCTTGGAGCGGCCCGCAGGCCCACATACCCACCACAGCCTGGTTGGTCCGGCACTCCTTGGAGGAAACAATCTAGTTTCCTCTTGAAGATGTCCACGGTTGTTCCGGCAATATTTCTTATGCTCGCTGGGAGGGTGTTGAACAACCGTGGACCTCTGACGTTTATACAGTGTTCTCTGATTGTGCCTATGGCACCCCTGCTCTTCACTGGTTTTATTCTGCATTTTCTTCCATATCGTTCACTCCAGTACGTTGTTATTTTACTGTGTAGATTTGGTACTTGGCCCTCCAGTATCTTCCACGTGTATATTATTTGATATCTCTCTCGTCTTCTTTATAGTGAGTACATTTGAAGGGCTTTGAGACGATCCCAATAATTTAGGTGCTTTATCGAGTGCCGTATATGTTCTCTATATTACCTCAATTTCTGCAATCTCTCCTGCTCTAAAGGGGGAAGTGAGTACTGAGCAGTACTCAAGACAGGATAACACAAGTGACTTGAAGAGTACAACCATTGTGATGGGATCCCTGGATTTGAAAGTTCTCATAATCCATCCCATCATTTTTCTGGCTGACGCAATATTTGCTTGGTTATGCTCCCGAAACGTTAGGTCGTCAGACATTTGCTTGGGTTTTGTACCCTGAATTATGTTTAAGGTCCTCATTTTTACTGTACCTGAGTACCTGGAATTTATCACTGTTAAACATCATGTTATTTTCTGATGCCAAGTCAAAAACTTTATTAATATCAGCTTCAAGTTTTTCAATGTGTTCAGCCGAGTTAATTTTCATACTGATTTTTGTGTCATCTGCAAAGGACGATATGACGCTGTCACTTGTATTTTTGTCTATACAGTATTTGATATGAGAATAAGAAAAAGCAGCAGTGCAAGGACTGTACCCTGAGGTACAGAGCTTTTAACTGTGCTTGGACTCGATTTTATATGGTTGATTGTTACTCGCCGAGTCCTGTTTGACAGAAAACTGAGTATCCAGTGTCCTACTTTACCGGTTATTCCCATTGACTTCATTTTGTGTGCTATCACTCCATGGTCACATTTATCGAAAGCTTTTGCGAAGTCCGTGTATATCACATCAGCATTTTGTTTTTCTTCTAATGTCTCAGTGACTTTGTTGTAGTGATCAAGTAGCTGTGAGAGGCACGCTCTTCCCACTCGAAATCCATGTTGGCCTGGGTTGTGAAGGTCATTGGTCTCCATGAAATTGGTGACCTGACTCCTAATCACTCTCTCAAATACTTTTATTATGTGTGACATTAGTGCAACTTAGTCTATAATTCTTTGCCAATGCTTTGCTCCCTCCCTTGTGTAGAGGGGCTATGTCTGCTACTTTAAGTGCATCTGGTATCTCCCCCGTGTCCAAGCTCTTCCTCTGCACTATACTGAGTGCCTGTGCTACAGGCACTTTGCACATCTTTATAAATATTGAATTCCACGAACCTGGACCCGGGACCGAGTGCATGGGCATGTTTTCAATTTCTCTTTCAAAGTCTAGTACGCTCGTGTTTATATCCGTTATATTTACAGGGATTTGGATATCTCGCATAAAGAAATTGTCTGGATCTTCCACTTTCATGTTGTTTATTGGAGTGCTAAACATATCCTCATACTGCTTTTTTAGGATTTCACTAATTTCTTTGTCATCCTCAGTGTGTGAACCTTCACTTGTACGAAAAGGTCCAATACTGGCAGTGATTTTTGCTTTTGATTTCGCATATGTGAAGAAGTATTTTGGATTTTTTCTTTATTTCCTGAATTGCTTTCTGTTCTAACAGCCTTTCTTCAGTTTGATATGAGTGTTTCAATTTCCGCTTGATTTCTTCAATTTCCCTATTTAAATTATTCCTTCTTTGACGGGAAAGTCGTGTCTGCTTAAGCATTTCCGTTATTTTTTTCCTTCTTTTATAGTGTCATCTGCGTTCTCTTTCTACGTTGGATCTCTTTCTGGCTTTCCTCAAAGGAACATGTTTCAGACAGACCTGATACACTTACGAAGTCAGTTTTTCTATTCCTTCTGTAGGACTTGTATTACTTAGAACAGTTTCCCATGGAATGTTTGTAAGTTCGCTGTTTATTTTCTCCCAGTCTATACTTTTATTATTAAAATTGAATTTACTGAATAACTCCTCTCGCTTGATCAACGTTTTAGGTCTATTCTGAGTATTGATGGTCGTTCCATCAATACTCAGCTGAGTATTGATGGTCGAGACTTCCTCTGAAGTCTCTTTACCTCCACCTGCCTCTTCAATTCGCCCTTGAATTGCTGGAGTCGCAGATCTGTCCACAGCTGCTGCTTCTCAAGTGTTGATGTCGATGTTCAGCTGCTTGAGGTCACGTTTGCAGGCATCTTTGAAATGCAGCTGGGGTCTTCCGGTGGGCCTCTTTCCTGATTCCAGTTCTCCATATAAGAGATTCTTAGGTATGCGGCCATCTTCCATGCATGTGACATGTCCTAGCCACTGCATGCATCTTTGCTTCAGGAAAGTGAACATTTAAGAGATTCCTATATTCTTGTTCTCTCGAGCACTGGGTTGTTGGTGACGTGGTCTCTCCACGTGATGTCAAGGATCTCTGGTTCCGCATGTAAAAGGTATTGAGCCGTCTCTCCTGGCAAGAGCACAGAGTCCAGGATTCTGAGCCATAAAGAAATGTACTCACCACACATGCCATGTAGATTTGTGCCTTGGTGTGTACTCACCACACATGCCATGTAGATTTGTGCCTTGGTGTGTACTCACCACACATGCCATGTAGACTTGTGCCTTGGTGTGTACTCACCACACATGCCATGTAGACTTGTGCCTTGGTGTGTACTATCAGTTTGACATTTGCCCAAATGCGCTTTGTGAGCCTGGCCAGTGTTGTTGTGACCTTCCCGATACGCCTGTCGAGCTCAGTGTCCAGGGAAAGGGTGTCTGAGATTGTGGAGCCCAGGTACACAAACTTGTGGACCGCCTCCAGCATGTAGTCAGTGATGTTTGTGCAGGGTAACTCATTGACGTTTTGTCCCATCACCTGTCTTCTTCACGCCGATTGTCAGGCCGAATGCGGAGCAGGTTGCAGCAAAGTAGTCGAGTAGCTGCTGCAGGCCTTCTGCTGCATCATGGCAAAGAAGAAGTCCCCGAGGATTCTCATCTGTACTTTCGTCTTTGCTCGGAGTCTGGATAGACTGAAGTGCTTTCCATCAGATCTTGTACGGAGATAGATGCCCTCTGTGGTTGTTCCAAAGGCATGCTTGACGAGGATCGTGAAGAAGACAAACAGGGTTGGAGCAAGAATGCATCCCTGTTTAACATCCCTGTTGATGTTGAATGGTTCAGAAGCTGAGCCGTCGTACACAATCGTGTCCTTCATGTCCTCGTGGAATGATTGTATTATGCTGAGTTGGGTGGGTAGGCAGCCAATTTTGGCCAAGATCTTGAAGAGTCCATCCCTGCTCACGAGGTTGAAGGCCTTTATAAGATCAATGAAGTTGAAGTACAGGGCTTTTCTCTGCTCCCTGCACTTTTCTTGAAGGTGAAGCTATAGTGAATCTAACATTTCAATGAGCCACATATATGTACCAAGACTTCAAATTAAATAAACAATTCCTATTGTTAGGGAAAGGAAGCTTAGGCCTATATCGCAGTCCTCCTTAAGTTAAAATATGTACTGAGTTTCCCCAGGATGCAACTCACAACAGTTGCCTAGCTCCTGGGTACCTATTTATTACTAGGTGAACAGAGGCTTCAGGTGAAAGGAAATGTGTCCAATCATTTCTGTACTGCAGAAGGATCGAACCTGGGATCTCCCAATTGGGAGTTGAGGACATAGGTTGAATTTACACTTGAAAAATAATTGGGTTCTGACCTATCTAGGTTGCTGGGCAAAGTTTATTGGTTAGGATTTATATAAAAATAATAAATATGTAAATACAAAAAGTAAGCCTAGAGTACAACAAATGAATTTCGTCAACTTCCAAAACACTTTCAAGACATCAAGACGAGTTATCTAATTTCTAACCCACTAATATATCCCAAACTAATATATTATTAGTTTAGGATATACAGTATTAGCTTGAGTTAGGCTGTGTTAGGCTTGGTTAGGTTAGGGGGGAAGGGAACTCTCAGGAGAAAGTGCCAAGCCCTTATGACTATATAGCACTTGGAAGGGATAGGGTTTTTGGATGGGATGGGGAAGGGGGGGGGGGTGAAGGAATGGTGTCCAACCACTTGGATTGTCAGGGATTGAATGGCAACCTGCATGAAGTGAGACCATCACTCAACCATCCAGCCCAAGTGGTTGTGTTGGTTGGGTTAGGTTAGGCTTGGTTGGGTTGGGTTGAGAAAGCTTTAGAATACATTGGTAAACCATCTTGTGTACAATGTGATTTGTATTCATTTTTGCTTATTAGGTTAAGGATAGCTTGTTTGGTTACTAGATTAAGGTACGGTTGTTAGGTAATGTTTGGTTATTAGGGTAATGTGAGGTAGGTAGGTTAATGTTTGGTTATTAAGTTAAGATAAGTTTGTAAGGTTAATGTTTAGCTATTAGGTTAAGGGTATTAAAGTAATGTTTAGCTATTAGGTTAAGGGTATTAAAGTAATGTTTAGCTATTAGGTTAAGGGTATTAAAGTAATGTTTAGCTATTAGGTTAAGGGTATTAAAGTAATGTTTAGCTATTAGGTTAAGGGTATTAAAGTAATGTTTAGCTATTAGGTTAAGGGTATTAAAGTAATGTTTAGCTATTAGGTTAAGGGTATTAAAGTAATGTTTAGCTATTAGGTTAAGGGTATTAAAGTAATGTTTAGCTATTAGGTTAAGGGTATTAAAGTAATGTTTAGCTATTAGGTTAAGGGTATTAAAGTATTTAAGGGTATTAAAGTTTAGCTATTAGGTTAAGGGTATTAAAGTAATGTTTAGCTATTAGGTTAAGGGTATTAAAGTAATGTTTAGCTATTAGGTTAAGGGTATTAAAGTAATGTTTAGCTATTAAGCTACGGTTGTTAGGTTGGTCAAACCCATATAAGGGGTTGATATAAGGGGTATATGACGTGTGAAGCCCTGGGTAAAGGCATCATAGGCACCTGCAAATAGCAACCATCTCCACTCTCCCAAGTGCAGTAACCATCTTGCAAACTGTATTTTTATTTGTTTCACTTAAATGTTTGGTAGGCAGATTATATAAATTACATTACATTTGTAATACAGACATGTCAAACATGCGGCCCTTTGCAAGCACACCTGTGGCACGCACAAAGGATACTGTATTTTGGTCATTTAATGGCCAAAATTGCAGTTTTTATAATTTAAACTAACACCTTTTAATAGATTTCAAAAGCACAAAAGAAACGCGAGCTGCTAAACCATTTGTATGCACATTGTATGTTTCTAAGTGTAATACAAATATTCTGCAATAATTTGTATTAAATGACTTCAATTAGTTGTGGTGTGTGGCCCTCATGACAACACAAATGTGACCCATATGGCCCACGGAGGACCCTCAGTTGTGGTGTGTGGCCCTGATGACAACACAAATGTGACCCATATGGCCCACGGAGGACCCTCAGTTGTGGTGTGTGGCCCTCATGACAACACAAATGTGACCCATATGGCCCACCGAGGACCCTCAGTTGTGGTGTGTGGCCCTCATGACAACACAAATGTGACCCATATGGCCCACCGAGGACCCTCAGTTGTCATGTGTGGCCCTCATGACAACACAAATGTGACCCATATGGCCCACGGAGGACCCTCAGTTGTGGTGTGTGGCCCTCATGACAACACAAATGTGACCCATATGGCCCACGGAGGACCCTCAGTTGTGGTGTGTGGCCCTCATGACAACACAAATGTGACCCATATGGCCCATGGAGGACCCTCAGTTGTGGTGTGTGGCCCTCATGACAACACAAATGTGACCCATATGGCCCACGGAGGACCCTCAGTTGTCGTGTGTGGCCCTCATGACAACACAAATGTGACCCCATCTGGCCCTCGGGGAACCCTCAGTTTGATATGCCTGCTGTAAATGATACTTTTTCCATAAGACATTATAAGTTATTATCACAAGTAAAGTCTGGTCCCTGGCCAGGCTTGAGATCTAGAAGAACTACTAGAACCCACTCCAGGTATATTTTCCTGAATTTACCTGTGGGCCACCATCTCTCTAGTGGCCTTGATGAGGACAGGAAGCCAGCAGCCTGTCAAAGGTTACCCCCCATCATTGGGGGGACAGGAAGCATATTATGCTTATCATGGTCCATCTAGACCAACTACTGACCTTTCCCCAAGATGCAACTCCCACAACAGCTGACTAATTTCTGAGTACCTATTTACTGCTAGGTGAATAGTGTCATTAGGTGACAGGAAATGTGCTCCCAGGGTCTGTCTTGCTGTGGGAATCAAACCTGTGACCTTTAGGTTGTGAACCAGCTGTGTTGACCACTATACTTAGGTGTTCAATCTGAGAAATCCTTTTCTAATATTATGAAGTCCTTTTAGGAAGTATCGCGTGAGGAAACAAATTCCTGTACTTCATACCCAAGACAGTTTACCAACTGAGTTTACCTGAATTTACCTGAGGGCCACTGAGACTCTTGGTGGCCACAATCAGGACAGGAAGCCGACAGCTTGTCAAAGGAAAACTTATCTACCCTAATCCAATGAAACCTAAGCTAACATAGCCTAGCTGAACAATACATACGATCTTGACAATTAGAAAAAGAAAGCTTTGTTAAAATGCCTGTGTACTATTTGACCCTACTCTCTCCTGCTAGATATAGACATAACACATGGTTAGGAAACTATTAAATAAATGAGAACATTTAAGCCATAAAGTGCCATTCAAAGGTAAACTTATAACCTAAGCAACACATAAGAAATGAAAGGAATGTAATCATGTTTCGGTCCATCCTGAACCCTTTGAGACTTGATACGGGACCAAGATGGACCGAAATGTCGTCACTTTCCTGTTTCTTCACATGTGTGGGTCGAGTTACTAATTTTTAGCATGACATTCTCTGCTAAGCTTATAGAAAAATTGTGTTGACTTGCTGGAATAAACCTTTCACTTGAAATGGCCAATAAATAAGAAAACAACATGTCATTTGTACTAATAGTTACCTGTGGTATATATTTGATGAGTGTGATGAACAGCTTGACGTAGGACACAAAGTAGAGGAAATCCAACCACTGGATCACCACTGCGGACCCCAAGATGACCATGACGAGAGTTGACAACACAATGCCTGAGAGTATAGTCTTGGCAGTTCTTGAGATCTGTTGGTCTCCACGTTCGTACACACAGCACTGAACCACCTGGATGCTGCATGCAAAAAACGCATGGAGTGAAAAGATGACATCGTTCAGTTGGACCGGATTAACTCCAAAAGGATGTCTGAGGAAGTACTGCTGCTTTATGGATGGGGCCCAATATAAACACACATTGAATAGACTGTACAGGAAGAAACCCACGATATTCAACGACAGGAAATCAAAGTGAAGGCCAATCACACTTTTCCTTCTCCAATTGATGTACGTCTGCGGATAGAACGACACAGACCAGGCTGTGAAGTACACCCACCCGACAACGTCACTAAAGTAGTCCAGGTCGTCGGAGTGGGAGACCGACACTCGAACAAATGCATCAGACACGTCCGTCATATTCTCTGGGCTGGCATTCACCACCAGAACAGTGTGCCCCACACGCCTGGCCACAAGAACAATGTTAAACGTTTTTTCTACGTCCCCCGGCACGAGGGTGACGTTTGGTATTTGTTCAAGAATATCATCGCCGTGAAAACCAAACATGAGTGACACTTCCTCCTCAACGTCACCAGTCACAAAGAGACTGAAATTCTTAGTCTCATAATCCACAAACGTCAAATCGTGCGATTCAAATCTACAGGTGGATGTGGCGTTGCTGTGTGGGAGTAGATATGAGAAGTGTACAGGGCCCACAGGTGCTGCATCTGATACAGGTGTTGGTGTTTGTGGGAACACAGGCAAAACAGAGTAAGAAAGCGTTAATGGGTTCACAGGTGTCGATGGGTCCACAGGTGTCGATGGGTCCACAGGTGTCGATGGGTCCACAGGTGTCGATGGGTCCACAGGTGTTGCTGGGTCCACAGGTGTTGATAGGTCCACAGGTGTTGATAGGTCCACAGGTGTTGATAGGTCCACAAGTGTCGATGGGTCCACAGGTGTCGATGGGTCCACAGGTGTCGCTGGGTCTACAGGTACTGGCACTCGTAAGAACCTGGTCACCACACCTGCCACAGGTACTGGCGCTAGGAAGCCCACAGGTCCAGCAGGGGGTGCAGGTGTCTGAGCGAACACAGGTGTTACAGCTATCAGCATAAGGAGGCAGAGCTTAGCCCAAGGGTATGATGGCTGGTGGGACGTGGCTGCCATGGTGCCCCGGGGTATGACCTGGTGCTGGGAGGCGCTAGGGGCATCTGCTGGAGCTCACAACAGGTGCCGCAGCATACAGACATGCTGGTGAGTCAGTCATTAGAGATAAAGGTGACTCCTCCCACAGTCACCTGACTCAGGCACCAGCTGACGCGCCACAACACCCACTTCGTACACCGAGTCCTCCACAAATTGTCAACAATACAAAAAATAATAATACCAATAATAATAATAATCAATGTACAAAGAACTCGCCTATACACCCATTTTAAACACTGATTTGTCTATTATAATAATAATTATAATAATATTTTATTAATAAATATAAAATATTGCCCGAAGCGTTGTGCGTATTAGTGGCTTTAGGTATTGCATGTACTAGCTCTATCTATAAATCCAACATTATGTTTGTAACTCATCTTCTATGTATGTACTTTTACCTGAATAAACATTTTGAATTTTGAATTTGGATTTTGAAAACATGGAGTTTGGCCTCTCCTCGTACACGCGTTTTTCGTACATCTTTCATCCAGGAAATTTGTATATAAAATTAAAATTAAAATCATGGATTATACCTCCACTTCTGAGCCCCCCGATTCATTCACAAATAATAAAAATAACGATAAAAGTAATTATTTAGTTCAAAGTGTATGACGGCAGTATATATATATTGTAAGCTAACGTATATAATCGGCTCCGGAAATTGACGCACTGTCCCGTTTTCTATTCGCGGGTCCTCTGGTAGGTTATGATAGAATGGGCTCGTAAATAAATGGGCGGAAGCTGCCATACTTAGTTCATTACCCGCTGTAACGAGAGAGTCATTAGATTCTTGGAAAGATCTAAGAAAGGATTTTATACTTACAGCAGGTATACTTACAGTCTCGGTACAGGTACCGAGACTTCAACACGCTTCCGCTACACATAAGGGGCATAACTGGCAATCCCCTCACAGTGTTCAAGAGAGAACTGGATAAGAACCTCCAAAGGATACCTGATCAACCAGGCTGTGACTCATACGTCAGGCTGCGAGCAGCCGCGTCCAACAGCCTGGTTGATCAATCCAGCAACCAGGAGGCCTGGTCGACAACCGGGCCGCGGGGACGCTAAGCCCCGGAAGCACCTCAAGGTAACTCAAGGTAGGTAACAGTAGTGATGTCACTTGCACAGGTATTAATACCAGAGAAGAACTAATAACGGCGATTAAAGTTGGGAAATCTACCGCACCTGGGGAGGATGGAGTAACTTATGAACTACTTAATGAACTTGCCATTATGACGAAAAGCCCACTTTTAGACCTCTTTAATATTAGTTATAAAGAGGGCAGTATTCCCAGTAAATGGAAAAAAACTATGATCATCCCTATCCTTAAAGCCAATGGAGAGTACAGACCTGTGTCTTTAACCTCGTGTTTTTGTAAAATGATGGAGAGGATCATTTTAAATAGACTGTTATATATAATAGGTGATCAAATGTCTAGTAATTTGTTCGGGTTCCTCAGAGGGAAAAGTACCTCTGATTGTATTATTAAATAGCAGACGCCCAGTATACCAGAATATTGTGATAGTTTTTTTTTTTTTTTGTATTATTTTCTACCACAGACGTGGCCACACATTTACAATGCTAACCAGCATATATACATTTTCTTCTGTCCTCCATGGACAGAGTTAGAGATGTGTTAAACATATAGTTCAAGGGTTTATTGAACATGTGATAGAGTGTAGAGAGAATGTTAAGAAATTAGAAAAAACTGGGTATAAAGTAAGATTCATGTGGTTCCCTTCACATGCGGGAATACTGTTGAATGAGGTAGTTGATGACATAGCGAAGAGAGCCACGGAAAAAAATCTTGTTGATGTTGTATGTCAGTTAATCTTGAAACAAATAAAAACAAGAATCAAGATGATCCAAGAGGATGAAGAAATGATAAAGAGAATGACAATGGTGGACAGTAGTAACACACTTAAGAATTATTCAATAATAAATTCAAACTCGTCCTTCACCTATGGTAAAGGAAAGTCTACTTGGAAGGATTCAATTTACATGAGATTAAGATTAGGATACAACTATATCTGGCAATACGGTGTTGATGTCAGTGAAAAAGATAAGGAGTGTAAATTATGTAGTATGCCGCACGCCCACACCTTAGAACACTATGTATTAGAGAGTCAACTTATTGATAACTATAGAAATAAGGAAATAAATAGTGTGCCACATCAAATTGTTTGTATGTGTGATAATGGTATGATAGACAGTATACTTAGGAGCTACAAGAATTTTGCCCCAAGAGTGTAACAATTGTATGCTGTACTTACTATATTAACCTGCAATGTTAAATGGGATTCTTGTAATGTTAATTGTCTATTTGTACTTACTGAATTTGTGCGCCCCTTGAGGGACTTGAAGTAGAGGGGGTAGAAATAGCCTAAGCTACTCTATCCCTTTGAGATGTATTTCTTTCTTGTCTCAATAAACATACTTGAACTTGAACTTGGAGTGTTGCCGCCTAGTCTCATTGCCTTAGACTTCTGTGCAGATATTTTTAGCCCTAAAATGCTGCATTCAGATGTTACTTTATCTAACGCCTCTTTTGCTTTATTTAGAAGTGAAGGACCTGTTACTACTAATGCTATATCATTAGCATAGCTTAGCAATTTAACCCCTTCTGTAAATGTCATGGTAATGAGGTTTTCCATAAGGATGTTATAAAGACTAGGACTGAGGACTCCTCCTTGTGGAGTCCCATTCTCATGCAAGTGGTAGTCCGACACTTGTCCTTGCAACTTTACTCCGGCATACCTGTGACTTAGGTAATCTTGAATCCTTACTAGCATATTTCCCTTTACACCTTTTTAACTAAGGTGTGTAAAATTGCTTGCGGGCTTGCAAGTTCGAATGCTTTTTCTAGATCAAGGGACGATCACTATAGCTGGACCTGAGTTAACTGTTCCTAGTAATGTTGCTATGCAGTTGGCAGTACTTACTCCTCTAGTGAAGCCAAATATGTGTTTATGAAGGTCTCCAGTCTTCCACAGTTGGCTATTTAAGACCATCCGTTCTGCAGTTTTACTAATGCATGATGTTAATGAAATGGGTCTGTAATTGCCAGGTTCTTTCGGCTTAGGATTCGGTATGATGTCTGCTTTCTTCCAAGAGGTCGGCAGTTTGCCTTGCTGCCAAGATGCATTAATGACGTCCAATATTCCTTGTTCTCCAGCAGGACCTGCATGTGCGATCATTGAGTATGTAATGTTATTATTGTTTAAGATTCGCTACCCGGAACAAAGAGTTCCAAGTAGCACGGGCTATGGTGAGCCCGTAGTATGTAATGTTATCAGCACCTGGTGCAGTGTCCTTACCACCTTTTTTGGCTCTGATTAGTTCTTGTTTGGTGAAGGGACAGTCACATTCGTCATTTATAGCTATGCTCTCATGAATGGCTGTCAACCTCTCTTGTTTTAATTGTTCTTGCTGCCTTCGGACCATTGCAGGAAGCTGATATGAAGCTGTTCTTTCTGCAAATTGGAGAGCAAGTCTCTCAGCCTCCTGCAATGGTTGAATACATGCCTGTGGTCGGGCTGGTCGACCTGATATAGTTTTAATCTGACCCCATATCTTGCCAAGACTACTATGTTCATTTAGAGTTTGACACCACTCAAAACCATCTTGCCTCCTTTACCTCTCTAGAAACTCGTCTTGCTTCAGATATCACCGCTCTTAGCAGAGTTCTTCCTTCTGGTGTGGGGGTTTCTCTTTAGATGTTTTCTGAAGATGTTGACTCTGTGGTTCTGTTCTTTAACCTCATTACTATAGAACCAATAGTTCTTTCGTTTTGTGTTTCCTGGGATAATGATTGGAATAGCTTTGTTTGCAGCAGCTGCAATGGCTTCCTGCAGATTGGTCTCGTGTGTGTTCAAATCCTCAGGTGGCGTGTATGTTGCATACCATTTGTCAAGTTCTTCTTGGTATATATTCCAATTGGCCTTTCTTAAATTCCCCCTAGGTTGTACAGGTGGTGCAGTAGGTCGTTCTATGTTTAGTGTTGTGACAGTAGCATAGTGGTCACTGGTGATCACCGGGTCTACTTCCCACTTCACCTAATGCTTGAGTGCTGTTGAGATTAATGTAAGATCAAGGGAACCTCCTAGAATGTGAGTGGGTTCCCCAGTGTTGAGAAGTGTAATTTCAGGTACTTCTCGCAGAGCTGCAGCTAAATGGCGCCCATCTGCTTTGGCTGGCCCAGTCGCACCTAACTCTTGATGATGAGCATTAAAATCTCCAGCAATAATTACATTTTCCTGCGTGGCCAAGGCAACCACTGCCTCTGCTTCTAGTTTACGTCTAGGGGGCTTGTAAACGTTGTATATGAGGAGCTTAATATTAGCCATATTCACTGTTACTGCTAATACCTCTACTCCATCCCCACATGAAACTGGGTCTATTTTCTTGCTGGGTATGGTGTTCCTGACTAGGGTCATTAACCCTCTTTGTCTCCCCTGCTCATACGGTATAACATAGTACTGATATCCAGCTGATCTGAAGGATTTCGTGGCTGGGAAAAGTTTCTTCTAAAACGATTATATCTACTTTTGTACTGATTGCAGCCTCCTGAAGTGTGTGTTTTTTATTTCCACGACCTTGTATGTTCCACTGCAGTATTCGTAATGGCCAGACGATGGTTTCGGTTGGTGTTGCTTGTTCTAGTAGAACACCCCTTCGGGATCGACCTCTATATTCTCCACCTCGCAAGTCGTGTCGCTGCAGATCGGACTGCACTGATTGTTCGTGGTCATCCCCGGCATTGTTGGAATCTGTGCATAACTGTTGGTCCATCGCTTTGTTGTTGGTATTGCTGCATGTCGGACTACATTGATTACTTGTGGCTGTTTCTTGTGTTGTTGGAACCTGTGCATCTCTGCTGTTCAATACGTGTTTGTTGGTGTTGTTGCATATCAGACTGCATTGGCTGTTGTTGTCTGTCTCTTGTGTTGTAAGATTCTGTTGATCTTGGGTGGTCACTGCTTCTTGCAGTTGCTTTTGTAAATGTTGATGTTCTGGTGTCTTGACTACCCGACTGTTGTTGGTAGTCTGTATGTCCATGTTGCATTGTTTGTCCTCTTGTGCTCCATCTTGTCTCAGACTGTCTATTTCTTGTGTAACTGTGGTCTGCTGCACG